GTAGCGAAATTTTGGGCTAAAAGTAGCGAAAGTAGCCCAATTTGGGGCTAAAAAATAGCGAAAGTAGCCCAATTTTGGGCTAAAAAGTAGCGAAAAAAACCCAATTTTGGGCTAAAAAGTAGCAAAATTTTGGGCTTAAAGTAGTGAAAAAAAAACAATTTTGGGCTAAAAAGTAGCGAAAGTAGCCCAATTTTGGGCTAAAAAGTAGCGAAATTTTGGGCTAAAAAGTAGCGAAAGTAGCGAAATTTTGGGCTAAAAGTAGCGAAAGTAGCCCAATTTTGGGCTAAAAAGTAGCGAAAATAGCCCAATTTTGGGCTAAAAGTAGCGAAATTTTGGGCTAAAAAGTAGCGAAAGTAGCCCAATTTTGGGCTAAAAAGTAGTGAAAGTAGCGAAATTTTAGGCTAAAAAGTACGAAAGTAGCCCAATTTTGGGCTAAAAAGTAGCGAAAGTAGCCCAATTTTGGCCTAAAAAGTAGCGAAATTTTGGGCTAAAAGTAGCGAAAGTTGCCCAATTTTGGGCTTAAAAGTAGCGAAAGTAGCGAAAATTTTTGCTAAAAAATAGCGAAAGTAGCGAAATTTTGGGCTAAAAGTAGCAAAAGTAGCCCAATTTTGGGCTAAAAAGTAGCGAAATTTTGGCCTAAAAAGTAGCGAAATTGTGGGCTAAAAGTAGCGAAAGTAGACCAATTTTGGGCTAAAAAGTAGCGAAAATAGCCAAATTTTGGGCTAAAAGTAGCGAAAGTAGCGAAATTTTGGGCTAAAAAGTAGCCCAATTTTGGGCTACAAAGTAGCGAAATTTTGGGCTAAAAAGTAGCGAAAATAGCGAAATTTTGGGCTAAAAGTAGCGAAAGTAGCCCAATTTTGGGCTAAAAAGTAGTGAAAGTAGCGAAATTTTAGGCTAAAAAGTACGAAAGTAGCCCAATTTTGGGCTAAAAAGTAGCGAAAGTAGCCCAATTTTGGCCTATAAAGTAGCGAAAGTAGCGATATTTTGGGCTAAAAAGTAGCGAAATTTTTTGCTAAAAAATAGTGAAAGTAGCGAAATTTTGGGCTAAAAAGTAGCAAAATTAGCCCAATTTTGGGCTAAAAAGTAGCGAAAGTAACGAAATTTTTGGCTAAAAGGTAGCGAAATTTTGGGCTAGAAAGTAGCGAAATTTTGGCCTAAACAGTAGCAAAAGTAGCCCAATTTTGGGCTAAAAAGTAGCGGAATTTTGGCCTAAAAAGTAGCGAAATTGTGGGCTAAAAGTAGCGAAAGTAGCCCAATTTTGGGCTAAAAAGTAGTGAAAGTAGCGAAATTTTAGGCTAAAAAGTACGAAAGTAGCCCAATTTGGGGCTAAAAAGTAGCGAAAGTAGCCCAATTTTGGCCTAAAATTTAGCGAAAGTAGCGAAATTTTGGCTAAAAGTAGCGAAAGTTGCCCAATTTTGGGCTTAAAAGTAGCGAAAATAGCGAAATTTTTGGCTAAAAATAGCGAAAGTAGCGAAATTTTGGGCTAAAAAGTAGCAAAATTTTGGCCTAAAAAGTAGCAAAAGTAGCCCAATTTTGGGCTAAAAAGTAGCGAAAGTAGCCCAATTTTGGGCTAAAAAGTAGCGAAAGTAGCGAAATTTTGGGCTAAAAGTAGCGAAAGTAGCCCAATTTTTGGCTAAGTAGCGAAAGTAGGCCAATTTTGGCCTAAAAAGTAGCGAAATTTTGGGCTAAAAGTAGCGAAAGTAGCCCAATTTGGGGCTAAAAAATAGCGAAAGTAGCCCAATTTTGGGCTACAAAGTAGCGAAAAAAAACCAATTTTGGGCTAAAAAGTAGCGAAATTTTGGGCTAAAAGTAGCGAAAGTGGCCCAATTTTGGGCTAAAAAGTAGCGAAAGTAGCCCAATTTTGGGCTGAAAAGTAGCAAAAGTAGCCCAATTTTGGGCTGAAAAGTAGCGAAATTTTGGGCTAAAAAGTAGCGAAAGTAGCGAAATTTTGGGCTAAAAGTAGCCCAATTTGGGGCTAAAAAGTAGTGAAAGTAGCGAAATTTTAGGCTAAAAAGTACGAAAGTAGCCCAATTTTGGGCTAAAAAGTAGCGAAAGTAGCCCAATTTTGGCCTAAAAAGTAGCGAAAGTAGCGGAATTTTGGCCTAAAAAGTAGCGAAAGTAGCGAAATTGTGGGCTAAAAGTAGCGAAAGTAGCCCAATTTTGGGCTACAAAGTAGCGAAATTTTCTGCTAAAAAGTAGCGAAAATAGCGAAATTTTGGGCTAAAAGTAGCGAAAGTAGCCCAATTTTGGGCTAAAAAGTAGTGAAAGTAGCGAAATTTTAGGCTAAAAAGTACGAAAGTAGCCCAATTTTGGGCTAAAAAGTAGCGAAAGTAGCCCAATTTTGGCCTATAAAGTAGCGAAAGTAGCGATATTTTGGGCTAAAAAGTACCGAAATTTTTTGCTAAAAAATAGTGAAAGTAGCGAAATTTTGGGCTAAAAAGTAGCAAAATTCGCCCAATTTTGGGCTAAAAAGTAGCGAAAGTAACGAAATTTTTGGCTAAAAAGTAGCGAAATTTTGGGCTAGAAAGTAGCGAAATTTTGGCCTAAACAGTAGCAAAAGTAGCCCAATTTTGGGCTAAAAAGTAGCGGAATTTTGGCCTAAAAAGTAGCGAAATTGTGGGCTAAAAGTAGCGAAAGTAGCCCAATTTTGGGCTAAAAAGTAGTGAAAGTAGCGAAATTTTAGGCTAAAAAGTACGAAAGTAGCCCAATTTGGGGCTAAAAAGTAGCGAAAGTAGCCCAATTTTGGCCTAAAAATTAGCGAAAGTAGCGAAATTTTGGCAAAAAGTAGCGAAAGTTGCCCAATTTTGGGCTTAAAAGTAGCGAAAATAGCGAAATTTTTGGCTAAAAATAGCGAAAGTAGCGAAATTTTGGGCTAAAAAGTAGCAAAATTTTGGCCTAAAAAGTAGCAAAAGTAGCCCAATTTTGGGCTAAAAAGTAGCGAAAGTAGCCCAATTTTGGGCTAAAAAGTAGCGAAAGTAGCGAAATTTTGGGCTAAAAGTAGCGAAAGTAGCCCAATTTTTGGCTAAGTAGCGAAAGTAGGCCAATTTTGGCCTAAAAAGTAGCGAAATTTGGGCTAAAAAGTAGCGAAATTTTGGGCTAAAAGTAGCGAAAGTAGCCCAATTTGGGGCTAAAAAGTAGCGAAAGTAGCTTTTGGGCTAAAAAGTAGCGAAAGTAGCCTAAAAAGTAGCGAAATTTTGGGCTAAAAAGTAGCGAAAGTAGCCCAATTTTGGGCTAAAAAGTAGCGAAATTTTTGGGCTAAAAGTAGCGAAAGTAGCCCAATTTTGGGCTAAAAAGTAGCGAAAGTAGCCCAATTTTGGGCTAAAAAGTAGCGAAAGTAGCCCAATTTTGGGCTAAAAAGTAGCGAAATTTTGGGCTAAAAAGTAGCGAAAGTAGCGAAATTTTGGGCTAAAAAGTAGCGAAAGTAGCCCAATTTTGGGCTAAAAAGTAGCGAAAGTAGCCCAATTTTGGGCTAAAAAGTAGCGAAATTTTGGGCTAAAAAGTAGCGAAAGTAGCCCAATTTTGGGCTAAAAAGTAGCGAAAGTAGCGAAATTTTGGGCTAAAAAGTAGCGAAAGTAGCGAAATTTTGGGCTAAAAAGTAGCGAAAGTAGCCCAATTTTGGGCTAAAAAGTAGCGAAAGTAGCCCAATTTTGGCCTAAAAAGTAGCGAAAGTAGCGAAATTTTGGGCTAAAAGTAGCGAAAGTAGCCCAATTTTGGGCTAAAAAGTAGCGAAAGTAGCCCAATTTTGGGCTAAAAAGTAGCGAAAGTAGCCCAATTTTGGGCTAAAAAGTAGCGAAATTTTGGCCTAAAAAGCCCAAAAGTAGCGAAATTTTGGGCTAAAAAGTAGCGAAAGTAGCCCAATTCCAATTTTGGCCTAAAAAGCTAGCGAAATTTTGGGCTAAAAAGTAGCGAAAGTAGCCCAATTTTGGGCTAAAAAGTAAAGTAGCGAAAAGTAGCGAAAGTAGCCCAATTTTGGGCTAAAAAGTAGCGAAATTTTGGGCTAAAAAGTAGCAAATTTTGGGCTAAAAAGTAGCAAAAAGTAGCCCAATTTTGGGCTAAAAAGTAGCGAAAGTAAATTTTGGGCTAAAGCGAAATAGCCGAAATTTGGGCTAAAAAGTTTTTGGGCTAAAAAGTAGCGAAAGTAGCCCAATTTTGGGCTAAAAAGTAGCGAAAGTAAATTTTGGGCTAAAAAGTAGCGAAAGTAGCCCAATTTTGGGCTAAAAAGTATTTTGGGCTAAAAAGTAGCGAAAGTAGCGAAATTTTGGGCTACAAAGTAGCGAAAGTAGCCCAATTTTGGGCTAAAAAGTAGCAAAAATAGCCCAATTTTGGGCTAAAATGTAGCGAAAGTAGCCCAATTTTGGGCTAAAAAGTAGCGAAAGTAGCCCAATTTTGGGCTACAAAGTAGTGAAAGTAGCCCAATTTTGGGCTACAAAGTAGCAAAAGTAGCCCAATTTTGGGCTACAAGGTAGCAAAAGTAGCGAAATTTTGGGATACAAAGTAGCGAAAGTAGCAAAATTTCGGGCTAAAAAGTAGCGAAATTTTGGCCTAAAAAGTAGCGAAAGTAGCCCAATTTTGGGCTACAAAGTAGCAAAAGTAGCCCAATTTTGGGCTACAAAGTAGCCCAATTTTGGGCTAAAAAGTAGCGAAATTAGCCCAATTTTGGGCTAAAATAGCGAAAGCAGCGAAATTTTGGCCTTAAAAATAGCAAAAGTAGCCCAATTTTGGGCTAAAAAGTAGCGAAATTTTGGCCTAAAAAGTAGCGAAACTGTGGGCTAAAAGTAGCGAAAGTAGCCCAATTTTGGGCTAAAAAGCAGCCCAATTTTGAGCTAAAAGTAGCCCAATTTTGGCCTAAAAAGTAGCAAAAGTAGCGAAATTGGGCTAAAAGTAGCCCAATTTTGGGCTAAAAGTAGCGAAAGTAGCCCAATTTTGTATATGTTGTATATGAATATTGGGTCAAGTAGTGGGGGCATGGTAGGATAAATATGAAGACTGGAAAAAGAAATATATAAAGAATAGTCCAGAAATATACAAGTAAAGGACAATAGGATGTAAGAAATGGTAATGAGAAAGAACTGAAAAATGGTTAGTGATAATTTTATTAAATTTGTAAGCGTGTGGGAAGGTAAGGAATTTAGTATGAGTTACTTTAGAGGGAAATATTGAACATGTGGCAGATTGTGATTAGATGAGATTGTATTGTGGATTTACATAGTGTTTTTTTTTTTAGTTGCTCTTGACTGCTGGGCTCTTTAAATAGTTATCTTATCCAGGATTGTACATAGCCTTCCCGGTTTGGTGGCTTCTGATAATTATTGAGTTAGCCATGATTGTATGTATTATGTAAATAAAGACATGTTGGTTTGTGCATAACCGGTAAATTTCAATAGTTACGTGAATGAAGAATAATTGTCAATCTCAGGAGTTTTTAGACTAGATGTCATGTGTGTGAGGAAAATTGTATTGTATTACTTACGTCCCCATCGTTACATAGTACAAGTCCTTCTGGCCCTAGGAGTCAAACCAAAACACACTTTGGACAGTTATGAAACAAGTACTTGCTAACACATTCAAACATTATCGCCGTTTTAACAATATGTTTTACATTATATCCATAACAACGCTTATATTGTCACTCACTCAAGTCCTATTCTTCTATACGTAACTAGGATATAACTTATCTACAAAGCTAGTACAATTGTAACACTTCCTACATCAATATTACATTCAACCTATAAAATACTAATCAATAACGTACATATACTACTATCTAGTCAATATATTGCCATAACATTTCATTAGTCACTATATTCTCTGTACATTTATTAATATATCAAGGCTACACTCCATATTCACTAACTAGGCCACAGCAACACATGAAGCTTTTATGTGTGCCTCAACCATCATTCCTATCATGAATACAGTTTACATGTTTGTGTAAACATATCAAAGCATATGTACCCTACTATTTATTCATACAACACTCATACCTCCCTACATATGACAACAATTTGGCCCTAAACACGTTTATGAGCTATTTCTAATATCACATTCGCCACACTAAGTTATGCCGCCTCTATAATCTACCTATTATTACTGAAAACGCAACGAACTACATTCAAATTACCTATTTTACCTACTTACCATTCTTTAAATACATGACAATTCATAGTTTCCCGAAACTCTCCATATGAGGTTATCTACTCTGCCTACTATTTACAGAACCGATACTCATTTCTTTATATTTTAACTATTGACAATATTCATTTTTTTATGATCTTATCTATCCATTCACAAACATTGTTCTTACAGCGTCAAGCAACGCTAAAGATTTCACTATACTATTTCACATAATTACTTTCAATGCCATATGGACTAAGCTTGGTCTGAGTCTTCCTACTATTTAATACATATATTAAATACAAAGTTAAGTATTAAAATGTTTCCTTATTTTTTTATTACCATTTAATACATTCTTTTACAGACATTGACAACATTTAAGGTCCTTTGATTGCACATTTTACATCATACCTATAAAACATTGTTTATTATATGATTATTGCCTCAGTGCTACGGTGAACTATAATTTTAACATTTCAACAAAACCCCTCTGTACTTTTCGCTCTATCAACAAGGCAAGCTATTTTGTCCTGCTGCATTCTACATCTCTTAGCAAATTTTACATTCACACATTACAGTTCATTGGCATTAGCACAACACGTGCCTAATATTTACAACCCCCCCCCCCCCCCCACCTAACCATTTCTATTTACAATTATTTTTACCGTTATCAACTACAGGACCTAAGTTTCTCAAAACAAATCTTAGCACTTTTCCCACAATAAATATTTTACATATGTCTACCATTCACTCCCTTATGGGTGCCCTCACCGTAAACTATTTACCAAACACCGTATGGTGACATTTTCTGCTCTGACCATTTCGTACAGTTTAATAAACTAATGATCCTCCAGAGTCACTTGCTGCACCACATTACCCGAATGACAAAATCCAGCGCTAGGTCCTTCTGCCGCTGATCCACGTCAAGCCGATCAAACCTATAAACAATGTTATATTTATTAGGTTCATAATGTTCTAGGTTATATCCTAGGATATGTTCAACTGTTCTCTTTACTACATTATGCACCGATCTATCCTTATCTTATTTACCGTATCTGTACATCTCCGTCAACCATTGAAAGCCATCTCTAGCACATCAAGCAATAATATGCTATGATAAACAGCTTTCAGACACTCCTCCATTGTTCTAATCCCTTACCATCCTACATATTAACTCAACACACTTCTATCAAACACATTTACAATACCCTCTTAAAGGCAAACCATGCTCTTAAACTCTCCCTGGACAGATGTAATAGGACCCATTATCACCACATTTATACCTTCCATATCCCCACGCTCAAACTTATTCTATGTAAACACTATGCAAATAAAGAGACTTACCCTATGCAACTCTCCCTACCGAGTTGCAAACCTGCCAAACTTTAGTATCATTCAAGAACAAAAATACCAATTTTCATCTTCGTTCTTTATTACAAGCTTTAAATTTCCTCTATCTACTTTTAGAGATTATGTACTTATTCAAAACAACTTTATCATTGTATTCATTCCTCTTATGTGCTAGCCATGCGCTGTATTGTGCCTACTAATTCCCTAAATTACCATTCAAACTGACATTGCAATCAATCTGCTACCTATCCTCTTATATACCTAGATTTCTCTTTATTTCTTCATTGGTAACTTATTTTTGCCTAGTATTTACCTACTTTCAATTTCTTTTATCAAGGACCTACCAGAAACGCTACGCGTACTAGTGGCTTTATAAGCACGTTCATGTGGGACACTTTTACCCAATATACCTATATCTAAAATAATTTTCATTTCTATATCATATCTACATCTTAAAATATCACATTCACTAAAGATTTATTATACATGTGGATCATACATAACTATGCCACCCATGATCACGTTGACCATATGGACCTTTGTTGCCTACGTGACTGCACGATTTCAACGATCCACAACCTTCTAGATGCATTTCTTGTGTAATAAACTAATGAAACCATTCTATTTCAAGTACAGATTAAATCATATCCTTAATAACATTCAATAATATCTACTTTTAATTAAATCTTATATCTATTTGTATTATATTCACATCTTCTCAATCATATGTCTACACGGTAACAATCTATATTCATTGAAACCTACCCCCTCTCACGGAAGAAGCCAAACTCTGGACTAAGCGACCTACGGGGCGCACGAGGGCAGAACGCGCGTCTTTACTAAAAGTGACACGTGGCATGGTGTTTAGCGAACATTAATTACCTCAGGACACCTTATCCAATTATCGTTATCAACAGTGATTACGAGCTATAACTGGGGAGTACCTTCACAATATATCTACAAGGAAAAATCCTAGAACATTTAAATAAGTTTTCAGTGAAGCACACAAGGCATCTGTCTATCACTTATCTAACCTGCTTCAACCGCAATTTAGGACAATTAGCAATGCTAATACAACAATATACAGCAGAGCTTCGATATAAAATATTGTCCCTACAATTTTAGAGTTATCCGGTCTGGCACAGTTCTCAGACAGGCACCAGGCATTGAGATCTTTATTTAATGTTACTGTTAATCGGCCAATTTTATAACTAATTTATCTAGTAACTATTAGACAGGCAACGCCTCACGTTTCTATTTTTTTTAGAATTGTATAACATGACTATTTTCCAAGACACCAGACACTCGTGAGGTTCACTGCCTCAAGAGTCCCAAGTCTGGTACGAGTTTGTCCAGGCGACAAACTTCATAAATTTTATCTATAAATATAACATTTAACAATTTAAGTTATCATTTGCCTAGTTGCCTTTAATTTCATAAACTCGTTCCAATTATATTCTTTAGTACTTTGTTAACTAGTAACTACTATTTTAAGGTCATTAATGTACTTTACCATTTAAATTCTTTATAGTAAAATATTGGCAGTTCATAGTTATGGTGCTAGGCTGGACTGTACATTTTTAAATCACCACTTTAAAACAGAACCCGTGTTCAGTCATAATTTATTAAAATATTATCCTTGTATAAAGGATACAAGCCAAGAGACTTGCCCGCAGGTGGATTGTGCAACTTCAATCTACAAATTCATTCACCCCACCAGCCCCTTACAGCCATGTTTCATTACGAAAAGAGGAGCTAGGATTTACGACCCTAGCTTCTAACTAATTTTGCATACTTTCTTTAATATAGTAAAAGTCCCTAGAAGTTCTAAACAATCCCGCCAGTTTTCCCCACACAGTAATTAAGTTATGTATCCTCAATCCCAATGTACCTTCTATACACAGTATTAACTTTCTAGCACTTACTACTATTTTAACTTTAATGCACAGTTATTTATATTTTATAACACTAATAAAAACTACTCACTTCTCAATAAGTTTTCCTTGTCCCATAAGAATAGCTGCAAGCGTCTAGCAAGGCTAGGCTGTAAGAATTTTCTTTATCCCAGCTGTACCCATGTGTTCACGCACCGAGAAATGGTTCTTGCCACCACTTTTCGTGTATCTGAAACATTTGTTTTATGTACTAAAATGATATTAAGTGCTTATTCTAACTTTCAGCTTTGTTACTCTAAGCACAATTTTATTTACGTCATCAAAACGGTTCCAACTAATCCAAGTACAACATTTTACTTACAATGTTGACAGAAGTTACACAGGGTTCCACAGGATGGAGTGTCCACTTGTCCGTGCCCTTTAAGGCTGACCCTTCATCTGTGGTCGACAGCCAAATGCAAGCTGGGATACCTTAAATGCAGGAAACTGGCAAGAACAATGGTGCCGCTTGAAGAGTCAACCGCTTGACGCAACTGAAAACAAGTGGTTGACATCAGTTTATGTCTTGGGAAAATGTACAGACATCGTCCCTGAAGGACTACTTTTGCCAAGGGGGAGGAGACGGACTGGTACAGACTACTTTTCCTCCCGACACTGCAAAAATCAAGCACCGTCTGGGGTACTGTAGTGGCCCCCTGGGGATGCTCTACACCCACACCGGTAGTTTAAGCTAAAGTATTATGGATCGTTTTAAAGTATTAACAATTTACGACTAAAGTCAATTTACACTTTACGCTGCTGCAAGAATATGCTCAAGGCAAGCTAGCGTAAATATTGAAGGTTTACATTCTTAATATTTACGTAAAGGTTTAAGGACTTGGTTTCAAATTTTATTATTTAACTAAAGTTTATAACATGCAAGCCATTTTTTATCCTTATAGGTTAGGGTTATAGTTAATCTACACGTTTCTAAATTACTTTCAAATTAAGAGGCTGCAAAGATTTTTCCTTGGGGCCCCCCCCCAAGCCAAACCCAATACAAGCATCATTAATGACTTTACACCATCACTAAGAACATTCAATTACTTTATTTCTTTACACTAGTAAAACATTAACCGTCTACATTTTACGTTGTCTTTAGTAACGATTAGATAGTACGTCCATTCCTATATTTTACATAAACTACACTTTTTGAACTAAAGCAATCTACTGTGGGAAGTATCCGGAGACTAGCATTGATTTTTACTCAAGGCGCGCTTGTCAATCTTCCCACTGCCTTGTGTAGTCCACACCCACCCCCCGGCCGGTACTTTTCACCACTAACAATCGGTTCTTAATCTATTAAGTGCAATGGTCAATAACATTTATTCACTTTACTTATTACCGAAAAATACCGATAGCTATAATACAAGCTTTTGAAATGCTACTCTTAAATATTATTAATATAATTTTTTAACCAGCTCAACACAAACTTTCTTAGCTAAATGAATTGTAGGGGTTCAGTCCCTGAGCCCATGTGCCTACAACCCTTTCCACTACCGCCCACAAGATGTGTATGGGGTGCATAATAAATGCACTAAAAACGGTCAGGAAATTATATAGTTAGCATTGATGGTATAAACAGTAACACCATAGATGAACACAAAATTAACGTCCCGCTTTATCAATTTTCTACTTTATTAATTATAATTTCATTCAGCAAGATAAAAATTAATATATTAATTTAAATTTTTGGATTTTAATTTTTAAACTTTGCAATCATATTGTACACTTAAATATTACAAATACTTTTTTTTTAAGGTTGAGATACAGACGTTAAGGGGTAACCTCGCATGATACAAGTGGGGTAAAGGATCAAGCCAGTTTGGGTCTCCCGTAGTGCCACACGCAGGAATGTGCTCACTTAACCTTATATTTGTCACGGCAATTTTCTATATACTTTTTCCAATATGGGGAACACGAGAGAACACATGGGAAGAAGGGGGGGGGAAACGCAACAAGGGGAGGAATGTCACGCAATAATTGGCAAAGCAGGAGTGAAATGTAATGCAATAATTTGTAAGGGAGGGGGTGGAATGTAACGCAGTAATTGGTAAGGGAGAGGGGAAATGTAACTCAATGGCTAAGGTTAGGGGGATGTAACGCAACAATGGGGAAGGGTAAAGGGGATCCTCCACATACAACTAACCTTCAAGAGACGAACCTAGAACTTCACACCACAAGTGAGGTAAGACACACTGACCTGCTGCTACTCTCATCGTCCCTTTAATACCCAGTAGCCAACCAACCCAGGCCACTGATTGGTTGTCATTCACCCTCAAACACACCCCATTGGTCAACATTTTGCGAGTCTGAAGTGGCAATTATCAATGGCGAACAGCCACTCCTTCACTTCCTCAAATACCAACGAGTCTCTTAATAAACCAATAATGAGCCCCAGCTTGAATGTTTGAAGTTGTTATTTTCAGTATCTTATTTCACAAACCAATTACAACATTCTGTTGTAAATGTTCAAACAGAACAACAGGTACAACACAGCAACATTTGCAATGGATTCGGCTGTGAATTAGTAATCCTCCGTCAGTCAACAACTGTTAATGGTCTCTCGACAACTACAGTATACAGTACAATATATCCAATAACAGACTAAGAAACCCAACAACCAAAACCTACCGACAAAACACTGGATTATGTTAAATATGTCCTTTCAATCGACTTAACATATTGCTCGTTAATGACAAATTAAGGGATTTTAACTTATTGAAGTTTGTGTGTTCTCCTAATAATTATATGCTTTAAAATACCTGTTAACCTCCACCTGGTGGTCCACTACCACCACCAGGTGGTGATAGTGGACCCCATAAACATCGTGTGACTTGTTGTATATATCCATCCTGTTTGCAGTAGGCTACATGCTAAACATGAACTCGCTCCAAACATTCGCTTTTGCCATATATACATTTACAAAACCTTGTTCTTAAATGCAAACCCTGATCTAAAACTCTTCCTTGACTGATGTAATACAACCCATAATCACCACACCAGAAATAAGTCTATCTTTCATATCCCCCAAAGTCAAACTTAATCTGTGTAAATACTCTATGAAAATAAAGGGACCTAGTCTATGAAACTCACTCCCTAACAACTTGAAAAGCTGTCCAACTTTTGATTTTTTTTTTCAAAAATAAAACCATAAACTACCTAACTTCATCTTCATAGTTTCCTACCTAGTACTTTAAACTTCCACTATATCTTGTGCTACCCAATCGTCCAATATATGGCCCTAAGCCATACGTCTTCACTATTGTAATCATGGCTATCAACTTATATCATGACCTGCCTGAAACGCTATGCGTATAAGTGGCTTTACAAGAATGTAAAAACATCAATGCTATGTACTTAAACCCAATATACCTTCTTGTATCTATATATAAATAAATAAATATTTTGTTTAACTATTTTCAGTACAGAATAAGTTAGTTTAGTAAAGACTGTATTCATCCATCAACACCTATCATCTTCGCTGACGACTTCACTAAAATCATAATTATAAAGCCTTAAAATCATCAAAAATACAAAACTAGGACCCATAGGTGGTACCTATGTATACCGTATGCGTATTATAAATCTTTATTAATATTTGTATTAATATTAATTATTATTATCAATTATTTAACTTTGCCTCAAGTCAACTACATTTTCTTGATTTTTCTGAATATTGCTGCCTTCACGGTGCTCAGAGGCAATCAGAGATGGTAAGCAATTCCCACCTTACGAGCAAACGATTTACCTAAAAATGGAGCAGTCCCACAAGGTCTCTGTGCCGTCCTTTATATTCCACAAGGCCTACTTACTGAACATTCCCAGGATGCACGAACTGTATAATAAATTGATTGCTTTGGTAATTATTATTTACTATTTTTTCACATATATTACCCAATACCCATCAGCTGTTTGAGAGTGGGGTGCAGAGTACATTATCTGAAAGGAAATGTGCCCATCTATTTCTGTCCCGTCCGGGATTCGATCCCGGAATTCTCGATTGTGCGTCGACAACGAATCCGTCTGTACTACCGGGATCCTGGCACAGCAAAGGAGGGCACGTGGTGGTACAGAGTACATGTGCTGGTACTACTGTACAATATACCCATTCTGTGGGTGTTATGGTCCCCCTATTCCCATTTCGTGGGGGGTTGTGGACCTCATACCCATCCTGTTTTTCTGCCATGTTCCCCTCTTTTTTATTTCTTTATTTTCTCAACATAATTTATACTTTAATCTCAATTAGTATTACGTTTTATTCTTAGTGTTTTTCCTACCCGAAACGCTTTGCGTAATAGTGACTTTAGGCATTGTATGTACTAGCTCTATCTATAAATCCATCAACGTTTTGTATCTCACCTTGTATGTATGTTCTTTACCTGAATAAATATTTGATTTGATTTGTAAACGGTATTAGTCCCCATACCCATCCTGTGCTTGCTAGTGTAGTCTGCCCTATCCTATACGTTTTCTATAATGCATAATGTACGACCCATTTTCTTTATTTTGTATAGAGCATATTCTATTGTATATATTATAGTTTGGCGCCAATTGAAATATTTAGATAATAATTCATACAATAATTATTATAATTTACTGAGAACAACCAAGAGTTCTCAGAACTAAACTACGAACCTTTAAGAGGATATAGCTAATCCATAATATTCGAAAATGATAAAAAATATTACGCAAATTTCAAACCCGTTCTCGACTCGAGTCCATTACATCCAGCGGTCGACCCCACAGACGCATTCGCCAATTTTAACATGCTGTTCATTCAAAATAGTAATTTTCTCAAATATACATTAATATTATAATATATTTGCATATTGTGCATATATAGGTATAGGGTCACAATCATCTCATATTGTGCTTCAGTGAACCAATGTATAACCCTGAAATGTTATCCTAATGTACCCAGTAATTCTTGTTCATTATTGTATATTTTTCTAATCTGCTTTTGTGTTAACATTTCTTGCAATGTACCTATAACATTTTTTTGTCAATTTTACTGTGAATTATCTATAAATTATCTGTTAGTTTAAGGACTTGCCCAAAACGCTATGCATGCTAGTGACTTTACAAGGATGTAAAATCAACTTAATTTCTATGTTCTCTGTTAACCACCAAAGTACCTTCTTGTATATAAATAAATAAATAAATAAATAAATAAATAATGTGTTTAGGTTCTGTTGGTGATTATTTGTATTACAAGTACTGTACCATGGGTGAAGCATTTATAGCATTGTGGTTCGAACAAAATTAGTCAGTGATCGAAGAACTTGTTCTGGAAGTGTTCAAACGTCAACAGTTGAGTCGTGCATAAACCGTTTTTCATTCATAAACAGGGGCTTTGGTGGGTGTCTTTGGAGGACGGGCTGGCATTTACAGCATTGTGCTTCAAACAAAATTCATAAGTGAAGCATCCCGAAGTGTTCAAACAAAATCAGTTGTGAGTTGTGTGTAAACCATTTTTGTTTGGAGGACGGGCTGGCATTTACAGAGTTGTGCTTCAAGCAAAATTCATTCATTCATAAACAGGGGGTTTGGCGGGTGCATGGAATCACTTTTGGGTCTTTGTTTGGAGGGCGGGCTGACAATTCCAATTTGGCGTGAATTGAAATATTAACAGATAATAATTCATAGAATAATTATTATAATTTACTGAGAATTATTATAATTTACTGAGAACTACCAAGATTTCCCAGAACTAAACTATGAGCTTTCAATAGGATGTAGCTGACCCATGATTTTCGAATAGGGTTGAAAATATTACACAAATTTCTCCTTCAGAAACTTGTACAAGATATCATTCACAACCTTGTATACCTCATATGTCAGACCAATACTGGAATATGCAGCTCCAGCGTGGAGTTCACATCTAGATAAACACAAAGCAAAATTAGAAAAGGTTCAGAGGTATGCAATCAGGCTCGTACCCGAGTTGAGAGGAATGAGCTATGAGGAAAAATTACTGGAACTGAACCCCACCACACGAAGAGAGAAAAGTTAGGGAAGACATGTTCACTACCTACAAAATTCTCAGAGGAATTGACAAGGTAGATGAAGATAAACTGTTTAGCATGGTTGGAACACAAACAAGGGGACACAGGTGGAAACCTAATACACAAATGAGCCACAGAGACATTAGAAAGAACATTTTCAGTGTCAGAGTAGTTAACAGATGGAATGCATTAGGCAGTGATGTGGAGGAGGCAGACTCCATACAGTTTCAAATGTAGATATGATAGAGCCCAGTAGGCGCAGGAATCCATAAACCAGTTGATTGACAGTCGAGAGGTGGGACCAAAGAACCAAAGCTAACCCCCATAATCACAATTAGGCGAGTACACCAGAAGTGGGAATGAAAAATTACGATTATCATTCAAATCTGATCAGACTATTCTGGTGTCTACAACAAACTAACTACAACAATGGGACAGGTACTATGGTACATGAAGGAAGGTTAGTGCGTGATGATAGTTAATAAAGTGTAAATCTACCACAGGGAAACTAAACATTAGCAGCATAGGAACTATGAATATTATGTGACATTAGTACTATGGAATCTTGATGACGGGTTGATGTATAAGCCAAGGAACTTTCCCTCATTTTTATTGCTAATATCAACATAGTCTATCTGAAGTTGAATCTGATTTGATGATTTACTACCAAATAAAATGTTGTAGGTCTTTTCTGTGTTTAGTTTAAGTTTGTTGGTTGACATCCATGAGTCAATTTTTTTTTCATTGTTGACAATATTATTTAGTGTATGGGGGTTGGGGTCAGAATAGATGAAGGTAGCATCGTCAGCAAATAGTATAGGTTTAAGAATGTTAGAAACATTTGACAAATCATTGATATATACAAGAAATAGGAGAGGTCCCAAGATGCTGCCCTGTGGCACCCCTACTGTCAATGGTAGAGTGGGGGGAGGTTATGCTGTTGGTGGCTACATACTGGTGTCTGTCACCGAGATAGGAACAAATATAGTTCAGAGCAAGGCCTCGGATATCATAGTGGTGAAGTTTAAGTAAGAGGTAGTTATAATTTACAGTATCAAAAGCCTTTCTCAGGTCAATGAAGAGGCCAATTGGGAACTCATTTTTGTCAAGGGCTGTGTAGATTATATTAGGCAAACTAATAATGGCATCATTGGTACTCTTTTGGGAACAGAAGCCATACTGGCAGGATGTTGAGTTTTACAAAGTAGGAATAGAGCCGTTTAAAAAAATATTTGAAAAATTATTTAAAAGTATAGGTAGATTTGATATTGGTCTGTAATTGTTTGTGTCAGCTGTCATGCCTCCTTCATGAACTGGCATCACTCTTGCTTGTTTAGGGATATCAGGAAAAATATGACACTAGAGATTTGTTGAATAGCAGAGCTATAGATAGTGCAAAAATAGGGACAGCACTTGGTTGGTTGACACAGGTATCAACCAGCATTCTCATATATCATAGATGGTTTTTCATTATTGTTATTTATTATTATTATTATTAAATAACCACATTTGGCAATTCTCACATCTGTATTTAAAACCGTAAATTTTTCAGCATTAAACTGCATGTAAATTTTTTGTCTATTTTAATCATAAAAATAATAATTATATTAATAATAATAATAATACACAGAGAGTAATCACACAGTGACTGTATCGATGAGAAAATCCATAGGAGCAATGATGAGGATTCGAACAGGTTTTCACACAATCCCCCAATGCACTCTGGCTCTGTCATTTAGGACTTATTCTACCTCTGATGCTCCTCTTTCAATAAACACAGAGTAATCACACTTACATGACTGCATCAATTAGAAAATCCTTGTGGGTTCAATAGAACTCCAGGTTGTAATCCTTATACCATGTCATGGTCTAGTCGCTAGAAGTGTGTGGCAACGCCCACTGCAAAGGTTCAAACCCTCATCACTGTTCCTACGGATTTTTTTATTGATAGTCACGTTAGTGTAATTATTCTTTGTATTATTAAAATAGATGAAAATTTAAATTTGTCTGTGTACCTAGTCATAAAAGTATTTGTGTCTGTCTGCTAACATACTGCATGAGTAAAGGAAGAAATGCATATGTTTATCACTCAGAATATTCGGTAATATGTTTATTGGTTGTGATATGTGTCTATATTATATAATATATATATATATATATATATATATATATATATATATATATATATATATATATATATATATATATATATATATATATATATATAATTGAATAATTAATAATTGAATTATATATATATATATATATATATATATATATATATATATATATATATATATATATATATATATATATATATATATATATGAATGAAAACTACCTGGGGTATTTTCATATATATATATATATATATATATATATATATATATATATATATATATATATATATAAACAAGTTGTACTGAATGGGGTGAGAATAGATTGAGCTACCTCACCCCTTTGTGTGTATTTATACCTCAATAAACTTATTTCAATTTCTACTTGGCCAAAACTCTTTTTCCCTGCCACTGCCCCTTAGCACTTGAATTGAAAGACCTACATCTACTGTATGTGGGGTTAACTTAAGTATCACAGTGTAACTTCCAAGTTTGATTTGCTCATGTCGAGCTTTACATACATTTTATAGGAAGGAAGCACAAATTGAGGGCTGCCTGTAAAACTGATACACCCTCAAATGAAACAAAATACAATTCACTATTAAATGCAATGGAAGGTTATCAGTCTGATCAATAATTAGATACGGTACCATGAAAATGGTGTCCAGACAATAGGACAATTTCAATGAGCTGGGGTTGCAATGATAAAGGGTTAAAATATTTTAATTGAATTTTTATATTAGAATTTTACTTTTCCAAGTGATTTGGGTATCAAAATATGCACAAATGTGTGTTCTATTATTGGCAATAATATAAATATGATTAATGACAAAATATTATCGGCTGCAGTGTGACCGATCCAGACGGTATCATTCCATTCTGGTGTGTTTATCACTGTAACAATAAATCACTTCACCAAATGAAACTATGCAAAACATCATGGATTTACATTAAATTTTGCACCACTTGTTCATTATGCTAAACTATGAATAATACCACAGTCGCAGAAAGTTTTCTTAAAGCTTCACGTGTCCTTCACTCAACACTTGCCTTATAAACTAACATACAGTAGTTCCATACAACATGACAAGTCTCTTTACTTATATCATAAAAATCCCCAGAAATGTGTGTGAAACAATGAATGGCACTTCAACATTTAAATTACTACAAGATACCAATTACATTTTAGAAAAAGTGGTAAATTTTTATTTAACCTTAAAAACCAAATTCAGCAAATTTGTAAGCTAAAATATGAGTTTCTGAGTAAAAACTAAACTCCTGTAGCTTGAATAGATAATCACAGTTGCTTATGTTACCTGATGAGCACCAACAAATTCCATAATGCTATTTACTAATACAACTGTATCGGGAATTATTGAATTTATGTACATGCTCTACTATCAATGGAGAAATACACACTGAATAAAATAGAAAAGCAATTGTTTCTAAAAGACATCACATTTTAACTAATTGTTCAAATAATCCTCTTGCAAATATTGGACGATATACTGTACAAAATAAGAGGACACCGGTCCAACTTCTTTCTGGGAAATATCTTGCGGTGTAGAAGTTTGCAGATCTCATCTATGTATTCTTTTTGTTCGGTAAATCTGAAGAGTAAACAATTTCCTATGAAACTACTTATCGATGATGGTATAATTTTTATACTAAAATTATAGAGCAACTACATATTTTTAGAATGCATTTACTTTATGTACTGACTAGAGGGGGAACCCAGCAGATTTACTTTAATTATTTGACGTATGCTAATGTTCCTTCCATTGACATGCATGAACTATTTGCATGCTAATTTTACATGTGACCAAAATAATTGCAATGCTATTGCCAATGTAAACAAAAAAGAACACTTACGAAGCTTTTACATCATTCACAGATTCGTTAAAACTCTTGACAGTGGTGTCCAAATCCAGGGCCCCAAGAGCCAGAAGGGCTTTCTTGTCAAGTTCTACAGGCCAAACATCAACAACTGTGTTGGGCAAAAGGTTCGGCCATCGAGAATTTAGAGCCATCTGCACATCTTTGTTGATCTGCAAAACAAAATATATTCTCTAATAGTCAGTGTTTTATTTTTGGTATGTCATAAATTTGACTTTGAAGGGCCCTCTTAAAATACAAAATATATGGCTCAGTGTGTGCATGAACCCGCTTATCCATGTACACAAAGTATAGCTAGAGAAAATTCAGAGGTTTACCACCAGTTTGGTCTCTGAAATTTAAAGGACAGAGCAATGTGGATTGGCTAGGGAGGGAGGGGAAGGAAGAGGGGAGGGAGGGAGGAGGAAATATCAACTACACCAATAAAATTTATGTAAAAGGAAAAAGATCAAGAGACACTGCTTAAAAGGGGCTTGACCAAGATATACTTGTGTGTGTATGTACACATTTGCACGAGCTCTGAAAACAACTAATTCACTAACCTGCTGATCTAATTTTGGAGCATCTTTACTCTTTGACTGTTTCTTTGTTATGTATTGAATATTTAATTGGTACTCCTCTTGGTTATTCACACCTGAAGGAAGAGAAACAAGTAGCTTGGATAATTGCAATATTATTATAATACACTAATTTTCAATGTAATATTCTATCTCTGCTTCAATATTCTACTAATCTAATATTCATAGATGAACAAATATCTGCCGAGTTTTATTCAATGAATGAAGGACAACAGCTGAAATAAAAGCAAACGTGTTGAGCTACAAAAATCCCCTGCAAAATGACCAGCCGTGACTAATATATTTGAGCAAGGTGTCATGGTCCACAGGTTGAGAACAAGAGCAGAAGCAGCGAAAAAGTATCTTTAAGGTATCGGCACAATGCTGCAACCAGTTAAAGGGTGTAACAAATGGTTGGACAAATGAACCAAATCAGAATGACAAGTGGACTGTGTCAAAATCCTGGGAACTCATTTTCTTAGCAAGAATAGGAGAAAGTTGAAGCTGAACAAGTTATCCCCTGAACCAAAACTTTCCTGAAGATCACTGAATAAGGGGATAAGATTTCCCTTCTTGATTACTACTAACCAATGCAGGGAAGAAAAAAAAACACATTCAGCCACTAGTGTAACATTTGTAAGAGAAACAAAACACTTCTTGGAAGAGATGATGAAGTCCAACAACTAGCAAGGGTCCTGAAGAACATGGGAGGGCCAATGATATGGTAAAAAGCTCCTTAGGAGAATAATGATAGGATACAATAGTGTTAAGCAGGTGGCAGCATTTAAGAATCAACTGGTAAAGAACAAACATGATGAATGCCAGAGAAGGAAGAATATTAGTGCAAGACACCACTGCCACACCCATCATATTCACAAAACAAAGAAACCTGTTAATAGTGAATTAAATAGCAAGTCACCTGCCTTTTATACAGATGATACAGCTACTCAAAACGCAAAATTCAACATAGAAACATGAAAACCGGCATAGATCTGGGAGCCAATCCTCTGGAAGAGCTGAAAGGCCCAGAATGGAGTCTGATGAGCACCAATGAATGGATAATACAAGACCAGGTAATACCAGGTCTGGTGATACAAGACCAGGTCCATGAACAAAGGCTAGGCCCGCCATCAGGAAGAATAACATAGTCCACAATTTCACCAGAATGGGCAGCATCACCTGGATTGGAGGAAATAATTAAATTGTCTACCACTGATCTCGGTCAAAATGCAGCACATCCATACCAAACACCTGATTTGGATATGGAACCATAGACAGAAAGCTTTTAGTCCCAAGCATAGGCATACAAGTCCACCTAAAGAGGATTGAAAATGTCTCATATCCAGGAAGAGACAACATCCACTACCCATTCCATTCCTATCTGACAAAAATGAGACCGGCCATCTGCGAGAACAGTTGAGACCTCTATAAGTGTAAACCTAACTGAGGATTAAATCCTGAAAAGCTTAAGTTGATATATGGCAAGGACCCAGTGATGCAACAGGATAGAGAGGAATGAACCCTTTAGATTGGAGCAGTAATGACTAGAAAACTGAGTGCAGCCAGAGAATCAAGCTCTGATGAAAGCGGATGTGTCGAAGCAAGATCCACATTACAGCCATCTCCCTTACATTGATATGAGTGCACATCAACACTGGGAAACCAATGTCCCTTACCAGATTGGCAGATTTTAGAAATGAAGCCTAAGCCCTTACCCTTACAAATCGAGCAATTAAGCCAAAGGGTGTCAAAGAACTGAACTCTGAAACCTGCACTGTAGGAGTCCAAAGGGCAGCAGGAGCATTCACAATATGATCCTCAACAGGTTAGTAGTAGTTTGGTCCAGTAGCTGAAGAAATTTGTGCAGAGCCTTCAGACACAGCCAACCCATATGATACACTATGCAAACAAAGTTCAAACAGCCATTCAAGATCTCAATGGGACAGCCAGTGCCTTCCAATGATCCATTGTAGATAGGATGCAAGCCTGTTCAAGACTGACTCCAAGAGGAGAGATGGATGTGCAGTCCTGGTGTCACAAATGAGACCCAACCACTAGAGGCATTGCATAGGAGACAGGTAGAATTTTGATACTTTGATAGTAAACGCAAAGTACCCACCAACCTCATAGTTATATCCCTGGTCAAAAAGCAAAGGCAACAACTGGGAGCTCAAATAAACTATAGTACTCACTGAGGTAGGCCACAATTTGAAACCCCCCCCCAAATCACCACCTACCAGAGGATGATGCAAGCAAGCCTGGTGATTTTCCTAGAGCCAAGTTGATTTGAATGCCTAAAAATGCTAACTGGTGTGTCCAACTGGAAACTCCAGCCAATCCTCGAATCTATCTGATAGATGTGTAAATAAGCATTCTTGAGTTCCAGGATAGGGAGCCAAGACTGGCCTGACACCACCATCTGGCAAATCATGGAGTCAATAGTCATCTGGAATTGAAGACAGGATAAAAGCATTTGATCCACTGCAAATTAGGGATCAGCCAAGAGCCTTGGAGATTTTTTCTTGGCCACTGAAAGGCGGCACGACTAGATCTGTATGAATGAGATTATGACTATCACATCCCTGTCCAACATCTCATAGATGTGAAAGTTGAGAAGTGCTTTTAATGGCTGCTAGAGAAGCTATTGAGAGGGCTAAAAATACAAAAACAGTTCACTTAAGACAAAATTTTAGTAAATGTATCCCTGCATAGAACAGGAGTAAATATTTATTCAGAAAAAAATCCTCCTTACCTGTAGCTTTTGAATCACTTCGAGAAAAGGTGCATGATGATCCTGTATCACCCACTCCTAAATTCTTCAAAATAAACTCTGCTACTTTTTCTAATGCAACTTTCCTCTCAAGTGTGCGACCTGTAGGATCACAGCACATCCTAATATCTGCTTTATCCGAGCTGGTTAGCATTACCGAGTTTGAAACGTGCAAATCCTCAAGCACTGCTTCTGCTTCTTTAAGGTCCTGAAAATAATAGACATCATTATAAATGACTGTATAATATTCTATTTAGTTAAATTCAAAATAAGAATGATCTAGCAAAATTAACCATTTATGAGCAACAGCATAAACCTGCAAGCAGCTAGTCGCAAGATCATGTTAAAAGTTAAAAATACCTTGGATATCAGTCATATAAATGTGCCACATAAAGATAACAATATTTATTTTCTCAAGATAATAACTGTGATGATGTAGGGCATTACATGCAAGCAGCAATTGTAATATTGTTCAATAGTGAAGTGAAAGAAAAACAGAGCACCAAGTGTAATGAAATGCTAAATTTTGGACAGCTCCGTGGTTGCTTCATGGAGCTTACTGCACTCACACTCCACGGCTCATTCTGATTTGCCAGGCATTTGTGACAGTCTTGGCCCACCGGGAGCAAGTACTGTACTACAATTTTACCCACTCCACATAGCGGGAGAACATATGTGGATCAAAGAGAAATCTATTCTAGGTGTATTACCCTAAAAGCTGAAAAGTCACAAAACACAAACAATTCCCAGCAAGATATGTCTGAAAACATAAAATCACAAACAAAAATTTAAAATAGGTGTATCACCTACTTTCCCCTCAACCTCCACCAGGTGGTAGCACAGAAGCACTTGGGGCTGTGGCAATCCAGTCCCGTCACTCTGGACAAGAAGCTAGTGAGATGTACTCAGAAAGTGGTGCAGTATTTCATTTGAGTAAATGATAAATTTTTGGTGCAGCTCCTTCATCAGCTCGCCAGACCTTCTTTATCCTGGCACCTCTCCAAGGTGCCAAAAACATCATTAAGGATTAACATATGCTCAGGGTCCTTATATTTGTTGTGAAAGTAGGCTGCCAGAGTTAAATACTGAACTGTAATTACAGAGATTACATGCTTTGGGATAAGCATGAGACCGACTCCACACGTTTATCCCAAGGCATGTAATCTCAGTACTGTAATTACAGTTCAGTATTTAACTCTGGCAGTCTTCTTTCATAACAAATATCAGGACCCCCAGAGCATATGTTATTTCTTAATGATTTTTTGACACTTGGAGACGTGCCAGGATAAAGAAGCTCTGGCGAGCTGATGAAGGAACAGCACCAAAAATTTATCATTTACTCTAATGAAATGAGGCATGAGGCAATGAGGCATGAGGCAATACGAATTCTAGCACAACTGAATGCAAGACAAGTCACCAGGTGATAATGGCAAACAATCGATACAGGACAGTGTGTTTGGATTCACATGTGTACAAACATGCTAAGTCCTCAATCACTAAATGGAGTAAGCTGACTCTTTTGTTAAGAACAAAGGAGGCATCTGCAACTTGAAAAAAACAGTTTCCCAAGTCAAAAGAGCAATAACTATGAAACCCACAAAAAGGTTGAAACTTGCCAACTCTGTAGACTGAAGCTAACACTAAAAAGACAGCACCCATAAATGTAACTGGAAATGGACACACTGGAAACATTGTCAAGGACAAAACCTTGACCAAGCATTCCAACGACAAAGCAGGCTCATAGGGAGCATGAGCTTATCTAAGATAAAAGAAGGCCTAAGCCAATTTAATACATTTTGCCAAAAGCAAATCAAATTCGATTGCCAACAAGAGAGGCTCTAATAATGCTGAATGATAGAAGGCAAACATCCTCACTGCCACAAAAGAAATTTGACGGAGGGCCAAGAACTGACAAATAGCATGCCGAGCCATTTCAAACTGTTGCCTCAATGACTGCTGCAGATGTGACAATATTGCCCATTTGCCTCATATACAGACAGCAGTATATCACTTTAAAAAACTCAATGCAATATGAAGAAAGTATGACATTTTCATTTGGCAAGAGGCGAGAGGCAGTGGGTGGCAGCCTCTCAAATTGATGCCTTGGCTGAACTTAAAAATTTACAGAAAATAGATTTAATGTATAATATTTGCTTTCTTTCTATAGTATAATAGAGCAATCAAATGCAATAATTTTTGCATCATAAATAATTATACTTTACAACAATTGTTGACTGCACAAATGAAAAATAATCATACACGCTCATCACACCATGAACCACTACGTGACCCCCAGCTTCCTGCAAAGCCCTTTCTCTCACCCACCTCCATCCCTCCTCTCACCTTTCCACACCCATTGGACACTTCACAAACACTGGGCACTTCCCTGCACTGTGCACTTTTGTTGTTCATCATTAGTGGGGGCACAAGGAAAATCAATGAGGCAGTGTTGACTGTAGTGGTCCAGAGCCAACATGCTAGCCCTCCTCCTCCCCCCTCACCTACTGCCAGTACCTCACACCCAAAGCTACTTTCCTCATTGCTCTGCCAGTAACCAACATCACCAAACATTTCTTGAAGGAGGTTTTAAGTGTTTTGTGACGCCCTTTCAACTTTTGGGGAAGTTCACCTTAGTACAGTAGTAGATTTATCTCTGATCTCCATGTACTCCTCATTCCTGGTGGACTGACAGTCAGCTGTGTGGAGCTACTGAGGAGGCTGTATAAGAAAATTAGTTTTAGCATGCTGACTTTCGTGTGCTGACAAGTGAGTTATATCTTTATAGCTGGAGTAAATGAAGGATGTAATTTTCTTTAAATATACTTATTATTTTTACACAACTAAACATAATTGTTAGAATATACAGTATACAAAAGCTTACCGAACAGTGACAATGATCAGCTGTGATATTTGCTGCTCTCAGTTTGCTGACTATGTCGACCCGTTCTCTTAACTGTTTCAATCCTATTCCACACACCAACACATTGATCACTCCAGATCCACATCCAAGGCCTAATTTGTCACAGGAAAAGGTATTTGGTTAGCATTTCCCAGTGAAGATACTGGTATGTACAATATGTATATTTATCTGACCTACACGAGTCTGAATGAACAAAAGAAATGTTTTGAGCAAAATTAAATGTTCCTTGTCAGAGCCCTTGGTTGTTTTTGTACAGGTATTTGCATTGGATACGATACATTTTGACTGAAACCAATGGGAACAATTTATTTTATCTCCAGCACAGATGCTGCTGCCAGTGCTGTAGCAGCTGAAGAGCACTAATTACAAAATTAGACTGAGCAAAATAAAACACTCCTTTACAAGCTGTCCCGCAGTTGCTACATTCCTGCCCTTTTAATCCCAACTTCACAAGTGTGTTTTGGGGATTTAAGAAGGGGGGGGGGGGGGGGGAGGAAGCTTTAAATGAGGGCTGATGCTTTCTCACACCTTGTTGTGGTGACTATGTGCCTTCTTTATCTGGTTATCACCTAGTAATAACCAGCATACCAACTAGTTACAAATCAGTAATAAGCAACAATATTTGACTTTTCATTGTGATTTAGTTGATTACTTGCAGGGAAAGTAATCGTGTAGTGACCATCTGGACACAACAACTGTTGCAACGCCTCATTTCTCTCAGTCCTATACCTACCAGGAACCACATGCATACTATAAGAGAGTCTGTCTGTCTGTTCAAGATTGGAGGCCAGCCTCAGCCAAATTGGCAGGGGGAATGGTCTGGGGTACGGGATGAACATATGCTGGTCGAGGTCACCAGAACTGAAAAGGGAATGTCATGCTAGGGTAACACTCAGACCTCCACGATGATTTTTGGCACTGCCTGCCAGCTACACACCTAAATATTTTCAAAACTATTTTTTTCCTGATAGTAATACAGTATGCACTATTATTCATTGATCTCAGAAAAATTAACAGAGTTTCTGCTCTCAATAATTTACCCATACTTGCATAAAACAGACGATTCTTCCACAGCTTCAAAAGTTTCTTAAGCCACAGCCCTTTATCGGTGAGGAGTAAGTTTTTTTTTTTTTTAGTATTTTGCACTAAGCTCCTCTTACACACATTAGACAATTTTATTTTTTATAAGAGACAGAAACAGAGTGTGTGGAAAAGACAGAATCAGAGACAGTAGATAGATGGATAGACAGATGAGTAGATACATGAATGGATAGAAAGATTAGTGGGTGGATGTATGTATATGTGTATATATATATATACAGGTATATCTTGGGTAGATGGTAACTTTACTCAAGTCTCAGGGGGCTACTAGGAGAACCAACTGACTCTGCTAACATAGCAATGCTTGCTGCTACATCACCCGAGCCTTCAGCTCGCAGCATCCCATATCAGACTGCATACACCAACACTTGGGCGTCCTGCTGCTACCTCGCCACACCTCCCAGCTTGCAGTGTCCAAAGTTGGATTACACACTTTTGCATCAGTTTTCATTCCTATAGATTATTCACTGAATACACTGTACTTATTATAATGTTACTATGTGTTTTATAGATCCTTGTGTTTGTTGCCCTCACGGATTACAAGTGGGTTGATATCTTATAGTAATCAATCACACTATGGTTGATTGAGAGAAACTATCTATGATCTCCTCACCCCGAATATGTAACAAAATCCTTTTAAAAATGAATTCCCATGGTTAGGAAATAGGTCAATAAATTAAATTGTGTCCTGGGCAGACCTGTAACCTCTGATCAAGGAAAATAACCGAGGGACTGCGTCAAGGAGCGATTTATTTCCCCTAACACCCTATTTTTTCCTATTTAGATTCCAAATTTTGCATAACTGTGCAAAAGCTTCATGGTCTCCATGAATACTATGATCTGATTATGATATTAATATATATTATTATTTAAATTGACAGTACTGTATATAAGCACAAATTAAAACTTGAAGAACCAAACTCTCCTCAGCCTCAAAGCCCAGAATGGAGGTACATTTGATGACCAAACCACACATTAGGAGATGAAGAAACGATGATGTTTCAGTCCATTATCAAGTCAAGATATTATCAAGAAGTGAGGACGTTTCAGTCCAGGATGGACCGAAACATTGTCGTTTCTCCATTTTCTGATGTGTGGTTTCGCCATTATATCTTCAGCCACATTATTGCTACTCATCGTCTGGAGGTACATTTTCTTATTTCAGTATTAATTTTAGCCTCAAGTTACTACATCACTTAAGAATTAACATTGAGTAAATGCTGATGTGGTTTTGTAAACTCTGGTATTGTCAATGTACTTACAAATATAAATGTCTAAGATAAACAATCAAATATCGTTGATGCATACTCACCAGCCACAATCTGGGATATATCTCCTCGACCAGTAGCCATAAGTTTAGTAACATCATCGATGCAACTATAAAACTTGTCCAAAAACAGACTTATTCCTACAGCAGTGGGTTGTTCTCCATTCTTCTTTGTTGACACAAGTTTTTTCCTAATAAATAAGCAGTCATTTTATGATCATTGCTAAAATTATGAGAAATCTATTGAAATTAAAGAGCATAAATAAAATTCTGAAGGCTTAAAAATTTGAGTAAAATAGTCAGTTGCTTCCTAAAGCAATGCCTTGCTGGTTGCATGAACATTACCATGCATTCAGGGTATGGTGGACAGTATGCACCAGCACAATACGGATTTTTTCAAATGTTCCTGTCGAGTCATACCGGTGCAAAGAAGACAATGAAGAATATTTATTAAAGCCCAAAATGACCTCTAGATGGCTCACTGAAATACTCTCATTCTTCAGAAAGCTTTTCATATACAGTACTGTATACTCAAAGCCAGACCTCTGACTTATACTAAAGTCTGCCACACAATTAGTACAGTACCAGAAATGAGAATACCGAGCTATGAGGACAGGTAAAGAGTCTGCATCACTCCTGGCAGGAGTGATGCAGGAATGATCTTATGATATGTATATCATAAGATTGAGAACTTCCAAGGTACATGGGCTCACATCCTGTTCCTCAAGACTGGTAAACAGGCGCCATCTTGAAAAAAAAAAATAGTCTGCATGACTCCTGGTAGCGAGAGTCTCGGTACTGCCAGAGTGACCAAGGCTGGCACATGCAGCTGGAGCCCACAGCACAGATGTGCAGGTCAGCGCTACACCACCACTTAATAATGATGAATAAAGTGACTACAATTATTTTGCAATGATGGTGTCATAGATGATCCTGTGATAAAGACTATGTGCAACATTCAGACATCAGTGAACACAATGCTAGTTATGATGTTCACAGCATGAGGCAAGAGAGAAACAGCACTTTGCCATTATTTGGTGCATCTGAGCATCATGAAAGGATATCATGCTCCTTTACAATACAAAATAGCCTTATGGAAATGGATTCATATTCAGGATTTAGTGAGAGCAATGTGATAATAATAGCAGTTCTGTTGCCAGTCTTAGTGATGTGCATAGTATATTTGGAAGCATTTTCAAGCATCAGGTGACATCTGCTGGGGTATCGTCTGCTTGTATTATGTGGCTCCCTGCTCTGTTTTGATTTCATCATCACCACTCTCCAAAACTGTTTACTGGTTCGTTGTGGTGCATGAAAATGTTGATATATATATACAATATGTTTATATTGTGTAATAACAGCAAAAACTGTATGTTTCATTGTTCAAAGAATGTAATATTTGAACCGGTATTAGTACATGACACAAATACTATATATATGTGAGTACTGTACCAATATTCTTCATGTTCTGTGATACAAACAATATTACTGACAGCCCAATGCATCATTACACTTTAAAAAATTGTGGTAAAAACATTTACAATATGAAGAAAATATGATATATTCAGTGCGTTCTGTTGCAACTTCATACATTATAACAATGCGAGACTACGTTGAATTTTGATAACCGGTTATAATATTATTACTTTCACCAGAAATGGTTAGTAGTTCATAATGGTGCATAAATATTATGGCGTGTGAATATAATGCAATAGCATAAAGAACACCGAGTTTTGTGGTTTTGATAATATAAAGTGTGAGATTAAGATATGTGCACCATATTTTCGAGCATAGTGATGTTCCACACATTTGTTTATATAAATTTCTCAAGTTATACACACCTGAAAAATGTTATGGAAAAAAAACATTCAGAGACATTGAAATAATTATGTAAAATTATATTTGTGGCAACTCCCGCGGTCACGGACCTGCTGGGGCCATTGTCACCGGGCAAGTACTCACTTAATCACCATAAATTTCTCAACTTCCCCTCTCCACCATGGCCAAAATATATCACATACAATATTTTTGTTTATATTTCCATGATCAGGGAATGCATTTTAACAATATTAAAAAGAAACAAAAAATTGGGGGACTAATTTATTTTATGTGCACAGAGGGACCTACCTGAATTTTACCTGAGGGCCACTAATACTAGTGCCCTCAATGAGGACAGGAAGCTGGTGGCTTGTCAAAGTCCCCCCCCTCCCCTCCATTTGCCCTGATGATCTTTTCTATCTGTACAGTATTTTAGAATCCAGCAGAGTTTTGATGTTTATGGCTTCAGCAGGAAGGTGGTTCCATGGGTTTACAACCCTATGGGTGAAAAAGCATCTCCTGTTTTCTGTCCTACATTGGGGCTTGTCATACAGTATTAAGCTAACGCACAGTAGAGTGACTAAAAGAAGTACGAGGTAATAAGCCAACAACTTTTTTTTCTGTTTTACCTGTGTTGAAGTATCAGATGTTCATATGAGCCCCCTTGAGCTAGAAGGTCCCGAATGATACGCCCTTTCCTAGGTACGTCCATCAGAAACTGGCACATGAAGCCAGAATACAGATTCGCATCAGCTACCATGAGAGGCTGTAGTCTGATGTCAAACTAGAAAAGATTAATATTAAATACTGGCTTGTAAATATCCTATACAGCATGATATACATACTCACAAAAAACTGATTACACATGATTAGGAAATTTTTATGATTCAACGCAACTGTATTTGAATATTCACCTTCGTTATTACTTATCTTTAATCAGGATTTTTATTTACATTATTTATAACATCACAGAACAAAAGAAAAAACTTGAAAATAAAAAAAACATAAGACTCAGAAATGAGTATACTGTACCTTGACACCAATGATATGAGAAGCCTCATTAATCTCCAACAAGTCAGCCAGCACCTGTTTAACAGTTGATGCAAGAATCTTGCGGCGTGAACTTAACCCTTTACTTTGAAGACTTGATATAATCTCTTCTAATGGCCCTTCTATGTAAAGGAACCCTTTCAGTGACTCGGCTGAAGACTTTTCCACTTCAAGGTCATAGAGGTAATCAATAAACAGTTCAATATTCATTCGCTTGGCATTCCATTCCTGCAAGTGAAAACATAAAATATTTCATAAACAGTTAACCATGTTAATTGTTATGTTAATTTCTTTCCCATATCAACAATTTGTTTCATTCTGTACATATGTCTGTTTTGAGTGTATGGAGTATTTTCAACCATAAACATTCAAAAGTGAAAGATAACACAGCAATTACGGTAAATACTTCATTACTGTTCCAGGATACAGGACTAAATTACATACCCAACAAATTTTTATGAAATATTATACTGCTGTTTAGTATAGTATTTAATATTCATATTTCAAACAGGTCTTACAACATTACCTTTAGAAGTGAGATGATCTTTGGATGCAACTCTTCATCAATTCCACAGTAACTCAGGATCACGTGAACTAGATCCATGTGACCCACACGGATGTAAACAAATTCGCTACTTCTCAGAACAATCTGTTGTATTATATCATGAGCAACAAGCATGATTCTTGCTAAAGATTCTGGTAGTTCTCTCTTTGAAGAGACAATGTCAAATGCGCATTCATAAAACTCTTTAGGATGGATTCCAGATACCTTACAAGCACGCTGGACACGATCAATGCAGTATCTTCTCATAAACTTGATCTTACTACGAGCAATAAATCGAGCAAAGGGATATCTTAATTCAAATTGTGCAGATATGAGCTCCCCTTTCTGTGCCATGAGTGATACCAAGTTATCTTTGTCATTGTAAAATGAACCTTTGGGTATATAAAAAGAAGTAGGTATCCATATTCCCCCATGGACTTTGAATATTGCTACAAAGAGTGACTGTAAGTAATCACGCTTCCAGTAATCCCAGTAATTTGAAGTATCTTCGCGGTTTACTTCAAAGGTTGCTTCCAATTCTGGTCGTGCTGAAGGCTTGAATAGCAAGTTCAGAATTTCTTGGTAGTTAGATGACCTAACATTTTTCAATCTTTCTTCTAGTGTTTCTACGAACTTCTTTTCTTCAGCTGTAAGGGGTGGCAAAAGAGGTGATTTCAATATGTCCTTTGTGCTTGGTCTTAAATGTGGATCGTGCTGAAGCAACCAGGATATTAGCTCGGCACAAGAAGTATATTTTCTTTCGGGTAAATCATCAGGAAGTCTTATTTCTGGTCTCCTAATATCTGAAAGAACTTTAACTCTTTCCATGCCAGTTGTGAGTGGCGGGTAAATCATTTCAAAGAAGATGACTCCAAGACTATAGATGTCTACTTTACTCGTATAACTTACTTTTCCCTTGGCATTGGTAACCTCGGGGGCAATATAAAATGTTGTGCCAACCTGACCTGTCAGAGCACTACTTTCTTCTACGTCTACCTTTGACATCATGCCACCTGTTGTCTTTGCTTTGACAGCAGCTCTTGCAAGACCAAAGTCACCAATCTTCACGTGGTCAGCCGAGTCAATAAACACATTTCCTGGTTTGAGATCACGATGAATAAGACCTTGTGCGTGAATGTAGTCCAACCCGTTGACCATCTCCCGGAACAATCGCCACGTACGGTCACTATCTATATGCAGTCCATTATTAATTGCTTGCCTGTAAGAGGAAGGGAAAATAATATAATACAAATGCTCAAAGGGAAATATCTGTATATATAAAGATACATACTTTAATACCTTCTTTGAAAACAAATCAACACAATATAATCATCATATTAAATGCTTTATTGATTAATAATTATTAAGGTACATTACAACGTAAAAAGATTTCACATTGGTGCTCATCCACTATGAGTCGACGTAAACAAGGCAAGCATAATAAGGAAGCAGACACTTCATGCATAAAAACTGAAATACGTATTTGATATGAGGCTGAATGTGCTTTAACAGGCAAAAATCTAAAATACAAATTCAGTTTATGGAGAATTTCATGCCCATGTGAGTTCCACTGTATATACTTTAACCCGTGTGTATATCTGCGTATCAAGAATGAACACTGCAAAGGCTGTACACACTAACAATATTGTGACTGACATGTTGCAAATATGGGGAATAAATGAATACTATTTTGCATGTATGTGACATAATGAGCTAGAACAAATTAATTCATTGACTATGTTAAGTATGAGTGACACCAGCTTATACATGTTAATGACAAGAAACAATAAAATATATGTGTGTGTGTGGATGTATTTAGCTTAAATGGTAGTGTTTAATTTATATAGGTGTTTATAGGTCTCTAATTTATATTTATAGCTCTGTATAGGTCTCTAATTTATATAGGTTCATAACAGGTGATATGAAAATTGTGACTGCAAAGTTTGTGATGGTTATTTTCCCACGACCTTAAACATAAGAATTGGCTTTGATCGCCCTTTGTTAGGCATTAAGAGCATTTATGAGAAAGTTAAAATTTAAGTAGATAAAATTGTACCTTAAAGTGTTATTCTCGCACAGCTGCATCTGGATGTAGAGGAACTGCAGCTTTTTTTGTGTGGCAGAGGGAGTCATAGACTGTGCTCGAACATTATTGTCCAATGCATTGTCTGTTTCGTCTTCTAATTGCTTTGAATACATAAACTCGACGTTGTCCGAATCTTCATCCTCTTCCTTCATCAAAGGCCTGAATAAATGTCATCTTGGTTATAAATGGTAAACAAGCAAGCGCAATACTAAATGAAAATGTATATAAAAAAAGAAAGAAAATTTCAAAGCAACTATAATAGTTTCTTTTATGCTCAGAATTCTGCAAGGGGAAAAAGGGCTTGGTTTAGTTTGTTATATGACAAATTGTTACCAGTTTCATGTCATTCACCTGTAAATGCAGTTATTGTTATGGTCTTAATATACGGCAAATCATATGATCAGCTGTTTGCTGGGCAGGCTGCATGTTCATCAAACCTTCCGCTTAGCCAAGTAGGACCCCCCTCTTCTTGCCTATCTGTTGCAATCTATAGTAGGCATCCTGCAGTCACGGGAGACTATGGAGTTGTGCTCGGGTTGTCGAGGCAGAAGTGTCCTCTCCAGGGCGCAAAGCCAGGGTAGGTCGATATGGAGGAGAAGCTGTTACCAATGCAGCGAGTCCTCCCTCTCCGCGATGCTGAAATTGTCCAAAGGAAAGGCAAATGCCAATACACTTGTTCCAGCGCCATCTCAGGAGCTGCTAGAATGAGGTTGAAGTCAACAACGAGCTACCATAGGGGCTCCATCTCCGGATTTTTCCTCGAGGTTGACTCCTGAAGCCTATCCCAAAAGTGGGTATGGCTGCGAGGCAGCAGAGGTTTGAAGTCACAGTTTTCCTTCCCCTAGATGAGCTGCCTTCCCAGACTGTCGAATCCCATCTACTCAGAGCAGCTGGTTGTTAGGCGCCAGAGGCACGAGCTCATGTATGCAGACATGAACATGAAGAGCTGCCCCCAAAACTACTCCTGCAGCAGGCTGGTAGCCTCGCTGAGGGCCCTGCAGGCCCTCACAGAGGAGGACCGGGAGTCCTCCAGGGACTACAACACACTACAAAACACACAACTTATATACAGTATTATAATATCATCACCATCATAATATTAATATTGAAATAAAATAAAATAAATTATAACCAACAGGTTATCTATAAATAGTTTGTTAATGTAAAGTAGACTCCTTTATATTTTCTACAAAATGAAGGTTATTAGAGTAAATATCCAGTTTCAAAATAGGTAAACATCTGATATTCTAGGGCAGGGGATCAGTATCTCGTGTGATACTGATAGTCAGCAGAGAGCAGACTCGACAAAATGGCAAAAGCTGGAAAATGTTTTGGAAGGCATTGCAAGTTTCATGGGGGATTTACTACATTTAACAGTTCACCGAAGCCACTAATTTTATTTCATCCTATATGTACAATAATGTAGAGTCATTTTGAGTTAATAGATAAGTCCATATCAAATGAAGTCCAGTTTTTGTGCCACTTATTAATATGTACTACATTCTATAATATTATTTCTCTGAGTGGTTTATGTTACCTTGAAGACTAAACCACACACCAGAAAATAAAGACTAAATGCACACACGCATCCTTTTTCTCTTTCTTACCTTTCCATTCTTACTCCTATTATTACCCCCTTACACCCATTTATTACACCTATTCCATCCGTACCTTTCGTCTTGCTCTTACCTTCCTTTAAGATTTCCTCCTCCTCACCTCTCTCTCTTGCCATACTTAATGCTTGTGCCTCACTTGTCTCATCACAATCGACTCAATAATGGTCCAGGACGGACCGAAACGTCGTCGTCCTCTTATTTTCTCGTGTGTGGTTTATTTTTCGCATCTTTAAGCCCCGTTATTGTGACTCATTGTCTGTTTATGTTACCTTGTTTGTCATGATATGATTATATGCCTAACTTTGACATGAAGTAGAATAGTGCTATGATTTCATTTACATATTACAGTTACTATATATGAATACTGTACTTAGGTACTGAACATACCTCAGACTACCCATTAGCCAGTGATCATCATCATCATCATCGTCGTCACTCTCTTCATCGAAGTCTGCTGACGTAGCAAAGCCTGGATGGTTTGAATTTGTATTGAAAATGATGCTCCAATCAGTTTCATCTTGTTGGCCTAAAACAATATTAAAAGAGCATGATTAATCAAAGAAAATTTGTGGACTTGTATGGCACCCACTGAAGACTTGATGCCTATCCCATTAGCCAGGAATCATAACACACTTTTAATAACTGGTTTATAAAACTTAAGGGACTCATGAAATTACCCACATCAGAATTTAGTTAACTGCAGAAGGCCTACTGGCACATATGAAGTTCAGTGTAATGATCTGATATGTTTCATCATAAAACAAAGGATTCAAATCACTCAACATTCATAAATAATTTAAGTTTTGGTGAAAATCCTCTAGCATATACAGATCAACTAGCTATTCCAAATGTGCAGCATTACAGAATTATCCCTGCCAATATGATTAAATTCTAAGATATGGAAAATGTTGGCTGTAAACTATAACCACTACTTAGTTTTTCATTATTCAAAGACCTTTATTACCTCCGAAGTCTCTCCACATAAATGAAAAGCAATTACCCCTGTCTACCCCCTTTGAAAACTAATGAATGCGTATTTTACAATTCATTTAAAGCTACCGATCAAACTTATTACTTTAATGTGTTTGGGGAAAATAATACCTTTAAATCCATGCAACATTTGATTACTTACACTACTTAATATTTAAAATTACTATATAGTACTGTATTCCGATTCCAAACCTTGAAAATTAAGTAAGGCTTTGAGTAATCATGAGAAGCACCTCTTTGAGCAGCATTATTCAGTTACCCTGAGGTTATCTTGAGATGATTTCGGGGCTTTTTAGTGTCCCCGCGGCCCGGTCCTCGATCAGGCCTCCACCCCCAGGAAGCAGCCCGTGACAGCTGACTAACACCCAGGTACCTATTTTACTGCTAGGTAACAGGGGCATAGGGTGAAAGAAACTGTGCCCAATGTTTCTCGCCGGCGCCTGGGATCGAACCCAGGACCACAGAATCACAAGTCCAGTGTGCTGTCCGCTCGGCCGACCGGCTCCCCCGCTCGGCCGACCGGCTCCCCGAGACAAGACTGCTGTGTAATATGAACAAATCATGTCCCATTAAGCAGGACCTCATTCTGGCACCACAGAATTTTCAAGTGCTGGAACAAACGTGGACATCTTCAAAAGAAAACTAGATAGTTTTCTTCAAGAAATGTCAGACCAACTGGGCTGTGGTGGATATGTGGGCCTGTGGGCCACTCCACTACAGCCTGTTGGACCAAGCTCTCACAAGTCAAGCCTGGGTCTTGGGCTGGGCTTGGGGAGTAGAAAAACTCTCAGAACCCCATCCAGCTGGTATCCAGCAGGTATCTCTCCAGGATCCTAATAGGTAATAGGGAGACACTTAAGAAAAACTAAAATTCATCCCAGAATGATCGAGAGATGCATTCATCAAAATTCAAAGCCTTACATAACCCCCCCCCTCCCCTTTAGATTCAGAAATGACAGCCCAACAGTGGGCTCTTGCTAAATGCTTGTTGGTTTGACTGGCTAGTCCCACTAATGGTCACCAAGTGGCTGCACCATTAACATCCCAGGGTTTCAACACCCAGGCAATCTCACATTTTCCCTGATTCAAGAAAACTAAATCTGTGCATATTAGAAAAAGGGAGGACAGAGGGCAGCCAAATGATTCTGCCCAGAAAGATGCTTTCGTGATTACTCAAAGAACGATTTCTGAGCTATAATCATTTTAGTTTCCTACCAAGCTAAGAACATTGAATTAACAAAACAAAAATAGGGGGTTATGCATAGTGAGACTCCATTTTCTGAGATTTCGCACAGATGTTACCTAAGTCAGGAGCCATTAAGATCACCAAGAGAATGTCATTCTGCTGGCTCACAAGACTTTTCTTCACCCCCCTTCCCCCAAACCCTGATGAGGATCTTTGAAAATGGCTTTATCAAAGATAAAAACATGGGCAAGAGACAATGGTGTGAGTATGTGTGTGTGTGTAGCTTTAGACAGCACTGAGATATTAGCCAACTGCAACACATGAAACAGAGAGCAATACCCCTCAACACCCTTTGCAGATGTTAATTAACACCACAAGGAATGCTAATTAGCACTGTAAGTACCATTACCAACTTGTCCACACAATCCCCCACATGACCAATGGGCAGCAGCCTAACTGTAAACAAGGTTAGAAGGGCCACTGCCTTCCATTAAGTCAATACCACTAAGGCAAGCTCGGAAAAGACGGAACAAAGGGTGGGAACAAAGAGCATCCAAGGTTTAAAGTAGAATAATAATAAAAATAATATTATTATACTCATAGTAAGATGGTTACATAGTAGATAAAGTATTGTATATTATATAGTCACTAGTTATACACAGTATTTCACTGGATTTATTGCACAGATTGATGTCTTCCCTTTCAATTCATACAACAGATTTTTTCAATAATGTAATACAGTAGTTATATATATTTTGTCTACTTTGAATGACAAAATAGTGTTAAGCAACCTTACCCTATGTGCCCTGAGGCATAAATATAAGGTCTATTGTTACAAATAGTATGACAATGTCCAGGCAATTGAAAACTTTCAAGGAGCAACAACTGTTTTACGCCTTTACAGTAGCATTACCGAACACAACAAAATTATTTGCTGTCTATGGTATTTTTAAAATGCAGCAGTGAAAGGGATAAATGATAAAACTGAAGTGCACACAACAAACGAACATCTTTCTTTTTCATTTGTATTCAGTAAGAAATTGCCTTGCTAATAACCAACCTGATTGCTCATGCTCATCTTTCTTTGAATTTGCTGAACTTTCACTAAAACTGGGGCACACTTTTGAGCTATTTGTAATTTCTACACCTAGTGAAGCTGTTGATTCCGTTGTATCTTCTTCCACACTGGTGCTTTCTTCAACTTCCTGTGGGTAAATATTGCTGAATAATGTACAGTGCTTATAACATGATAATAAACATGTTTCCTGTAATAGTAAACAATATTCAAACTTTATATTTTTGTACAGTTCTGAATCCAAGAATTAGAAAAATACATCTCTTCATCAGTAAAGCTATCATACTTTATTCCGTACTCTATTAGACGGTGATCGAGTTGCAATTTTATGGAGATAGCAGAGACGAATTTTAACAATTTTTCGATATGACAGGACAGCAAATTCTGACCAAATTACCGTAACAATAGTGTGCTATATAAAATGGTGTACATAATGATGTGCAGTTGCTCAGCTAGTCAGGCATAATGGAGTATGGCCACCATTGGACAAATGACTGCAGCCAATGGTATGCTTTTCTATTGTTGGGGACATATTAATACATATGTTGGGACATGTGTTGGGGGACAGGAAGCCAGTACAGTACTTAGGCTTTCAAGGTTTTCCCAAAGGAACAACTAATCTACCCCAGGATATAATGTACAACAACTTTTTTAACTCCCAGGGGTAACTATTTACTGCTAGGTGAACAGGCCATCAGGTGAAAGGAAACATGCCCAGGCATCATCTCGGTCCTGTCTGGGATTTTGAGCCCAGGACCCTCGATTGTGAGTCAATGAAATAGACTACCATTCCCCTGGTATCAGTAAGGCTATCTAGAGCATCAATAACGAACACAGTACACTATATGTATTCCATAGTAATGAAAACTGCCCAAAGGGCCAGAATAGTTTGAGCCTTCTTGGGAAGGCCGGCTACAGATCGTGCCTATCCCTTGTTACACTTGAACAAAAAATGTTATGATAGATTTGAGTATGTGCCCTACATCTGACTATAATAGCATCAGAGAAGATTACAACCATATGGCATTACTGTATTGGGAACCTATACCATACTGTCTCTATATACTTGGGCAGGCTATGACAGATGAAGGCCATGAAAAGAGTAAGTGTTGGGTTGGATTTTCACCCATGGTGTTAACGAGTCACTTGACTGTCACAACCTCCTGGCACACAAACTCTTCCTGAATTCTTGACTCAAGAGTACCATATCAGTTCACAATAGACAACAACATACCCCGTAATGGTTTAGAAAGCAGCATGTAGAAAACATGAAATGGTTGTTCCTGGAACCTTTAATATGTTGCAGACTATTGCACACATTCTGGAGAAGATACCTTAGTAACAAGTGTTACCATAAAAAGGTTACCATCAGCCAGCATTGAAATTTTGAGCTTGTACCCACAGGCCAGAGCGTGCAAACACTTATGACTTCACTTCAGTCATGGTGTTTACCGGAAACTTTCTGCCTCTTTGGTAGGGGCCTGTCAGTCACTGTGCTTCAGAGGGCAGGCTCACTATCTCAACTCTATTTCCAATCAGGAAGGGCAAAACTTGGAGGAGACTGCATTTTACAATCTGGTTAGACCACGTGGCTTATGTTAAGGGAATCTTCCAAAGGCAGGTGGTGTGGTGGATGACTAGAGCTGGTCATCCATCACACAAGCTTCAGGAAAGACAATAAATAACGAATATAGGCGAGACAATGAACATCATTTTCCTGTGTCCTCCCCCCCCCACTAGCCATGGCACCCATCAAGGAGCAATACAGTATACTGACCTGCCCTGACTATGCCAGATCCTAATGTGTGGTATGTAGGTTCTAGGTTTACAAAGCAATCTTTTGCTTGGATAAATGTTTTCATATTCACTCAATGCCAACATTTTGGTGCTACTGTGTTTTAATGTGTTAGTTGATAAACCAATTAAAAACTTAACTGACAATACGAACACAATTTTAAGATTATATTTTGCCAAAAATGATGTGGCTACTCTGCCAAATATTACTCAACTCGCATTAATATTAACAGTGTTACCTGTGTAAGTTCATCAATCCAAGAGGTGTAATAGCGTACAACATTCTCATGATTGAGAGAGGAGAGGAGTTTCACTTCACGATTAATTTTGTTTCTATCCATTTCAACGTGTTGATCAAGCTGTATTCTCTTCAAAGCATAACTTTGACCATCAACTTTGTTATGAACCTGGTAGAAGTAAATTAATGTTCATAATTTGTAAAAAATATAGATTGCATAATTCTTCCTTAGCAGAAAGGCCCTCATATTATACATCTTGAGATTTTATAATGCAAATTTATATACTAAATTCATAGTATTAGCCCCTTATAATTTAATCCTGTGCTAAGTAAATGAGTTAAATTAGGTATGTAAAATAAGCAAAATATTTAATCATCTGTAATTATATAAACAATATTGCTTGGAAGATACTAATGCATAACAAGGGAAGAGTGCTTGAGCAATGCACAATACATGTTATAAATTAACCAGGAATCAGGGGACTCTACAAAGTACAGTACAGTACTGTATTACAAATACCTACTCAAATAAAGATTAAAAACATTTTCCATAGTTTGAACAGCCTGAGACAAACTCTTCTGAGATTACATAACTGAATTTTTAAAACTTTTCATATGAACTCTGTAATTATGCATTTAAATATTGTAAGCTGAAAACTACATACAATTTCCATCTTCATTTTAGAATACAATACTATACTACTGAAAATTATTTTTCACATGCAAATGATTAGGTGCAAATAATGACTTTTTATATATACAGTATATAAGACGTTTACCTTAAACACATAGCCAAATCCTCCTCTCCCCAGACATTTAAGAAAGTCATATTCTTTATCTACTCTGGAATTTCCTTTAAGGTTGGAAGGCAGATGAAGAGAAACCTCCGAGGTCAATTCAACTCCTGCTGCAGAACACTCCTCGTCATCCTCTGTTTGAGAGTCAGTGGTGCCTGTAGAGGTCTGATAAGAACATTTATTTGTTATAAATAGAGAGGCATGTTTTTTGATACAAGAATCCAGTCTTGAAAATGCATTAAAGATAGACCTCAGGGACATTTCCAAATCATTCAACACAATTAAAAGATTTTCAGGTGAAAATATACGTAGTGAAATCCCATTTAGTTAGTTAATTTATTATGTGCCCCATATTTTGTAGTTTGCATCAAAATACAATCCCATTTAGCCAAATTAATGTGCGCTAAAGGAAACCCACACAGGCAAAAAAATGTATTGTAAACATACATGGGAACTAGGTAGACTGGCAGTGAGGGACTTTGAGACATACTTCCACACTAATACCACACAAACACTGCTAAACCTGTATCTTTTCCAGACTTTGTTTGGATTTAATCAATCATTTACAGTAAATCCAAAGAGGTCTTTGCATTTAATAAACACACTATTTCTCCGATCCAAAATGTTATTCAGGATAGTACTGCATAGATATCTTTATATGATCCAGAGAATAACTCAAAACATTATACTCTCAACCACAGATATTAACATTAAGTACAATACCCAGCACTTCTACAAATAAAACGTCTTTCTTCTTTGCCAACATACAAAGCGTCAAAACACCCAAAACAAAGTCCACTTTATAACTGATCTTCCAAATGAGGCAAATCTAATGTATGCAGCTTTTAAAATCACACAAAGGACTACTATGACAATGAAATATTGATAGCAGGATTCAATCTTTTCAGATGTGATAAAAAAACATAGGCTACAGAGTGGAGTCAGCCTGTACATCCAAGACACAATCAGCTGCACAGAGCTGCTAAACACCACAACTGATGACATGGTGGACGTGCTGATCCTCAAAATAGAAAATCTAAGTGTGGTGATTTGTCTTTTTATATAAATCATCAGATGTAAATCCTTAAACAGTTTAAAAGATCAACTTACAATAATAGAATACTGCTTAGAAAACCCCCCTCACAAACCCTGCCCTAAACATCACCTTGCTTGGCAACTTTAACTTACAGCAACAAAAATTCCTTTGCTTTATTATTAGATTATTGCAAGCAATAATAGAAAACTGTTATTTGAAGGATCTCTGAAGAACTTACATCATTTCTTTGTTCTTTCTCGGGAGATTTCTCTCGCTCATCTGGTGAACTACAGATAAATGAATGTTTCAGAAGGCATTCTGCTGTCCATCTCTGCTGTTCACTAAGTTCCAAGCAACGCTGAATGAAGTCTCGTAATTCTGGACTAAGAGCGGGTGGTAAAGTTGGTACAATCTGCGGAAATAAAATCTGCATTTAAATTATACTTATAAATGTAAGGAAACCCTACTGCCATTGTATTATAAAAAAAAGTGCATTTTTTAAAAAGCAACAAAAAATGAAAGTCATTGGTAGAGATGAGAGGAGTCATAAAAAGCATCCACAACAAGGCCTCCATGACCATCGGGGATCAAAGCAAAGCAGATCCAACTCCTTCCAGGCACTCTCCTGCACTCCCTACTTAACATATTCATTGCTATGCTGGTATCTGGCCACATCCACATAGCCTTTAAAATGGCCAAGATGATATTTATTCCCAAACCCAAGAAAGATCCCCCCCAGTGATCTTTATTTTATTTAGCAGCTTGGTAGTTTTTTTTTTTACACTTCATCCCAATGGCCTTTGTAGGACATTTCATGCCAGGCTTTGAGTGGCATGAGACAGGAAAACTACCAGCTTATTTCTGACACATCATGCAGCTGCTCCCCTTTAACAAGATTCCACTGCGTCTTTGGACGTGGCTAAAATACAGTACATCGAGCAGTGGGCCAGAACAAAATGTCCTAACTCATTTCATTTCATCCGAGAGTTGGGTCATTGGTAATGATATCGGTTTTCACTGCAATTCCAATGACAGCTTGAATGGGATGTTGAATGGATAGATCTGTTCTTTTGTATTTTATAGTGTGCAGTCACTCAGTGGCAACTAGAACTCTATTTTTCCTTCCCAAACTTTATGCCAAAGCCATTAGAAAAGTTCTTTGCCATGATGGGCAGAAAGGTTACCTACGGCCTCACATGTAAATCGGGACAAGGAATTATTTTGATGAAAATAGTTCAGGACATGTAGTGTTCTTTCTGTGATGTGCTTGATGAGAGGAAGATGAAGTAATGTGTAAATAAGCACAATGCATTTTACACAAACCAGCCTATTGCCATAAAAAACTAAAGGCTACATAAAAAAAAAAAGAGATGGTAAAAGAATATTAATTATAACTTTACAAACGATTTGCATTTCAAGGTTCCAATAGTACATTCGGTTTCATTCTCGACTCACAATCAAGAATTCCATGTTCAAATCCCGGCAGGACAGAAATGGTTGGGTGCATTTCCTATCGTCTAATGATCCAGTTCACCTTGCAGTAACTAGGCACCCAGGAGTTAGTCAGCTTGTTATGGTGATGCATCTTGAAGAGGGTGGGGGTCTGTAATTTAACCTTGGGAGTACCTCAATATAAGCCTAACATGTATAAATACACTCTGGCTGCCTGTCCTCCGACACAATGAATTATTATTATTATTATTATTGTTTATTAAATGCTACAAAACTCATCCTACCTGTTGAACTCGTTGACCCAGGAAGAGTGAGAGAACTATTAGGCCAAGGCGATATACATCATTCTTCTTGCCGCCTCGTCCTGGAGATAATGGATACGCTGATGGCACTTCCATGTCGATGAATTCTAGCACAACTTCAACTATTCTTCTTTCCACTCCATAATCTGCTATCTTAACTTGTCGAGAGTGTGCATTAAGAAATATACAGGAGTCTCTAAGATCTCTATGTACAACGTTATTTTGATGCAAATAGTTCAGGGCATGTAGTGTTCCTTCTGTAATGTGCTTGATGAGAGGAAGATGAATAGGTATGTTAAGTTCCATGAAGTATTTTATAGGCATTCCCTGCACATATTCTTGTAAAACAGAGACAGATATACCTTCATTAGGATGATTACTGACTTTCATTCCCATGTAATGAACTAAATTATTATGTGAGAGGCGTAATAATGAACTCATTTCCTTTTCCAAGCCAGAAAATTTCCCAATTAATTCTTCAATCTGGCTTTCTTGTCCAACTTTCACATGATTTCCTCTCCTTCCAGTTCTTTGTAGTCTAATTTGCCATATGTAGATAACACATTTTTCCGAAGACACCTTATCTTGTGCTTCTAACACACGGCAGCCTTGAATTTTACGTTCGCTTAAACATCCCATCAATACTGCAACACGTTCCTGCTTTCCTGCTCGAGGGAAGTGCACTTCGGCAGATTTTTTTGATAGCTCTCCTGATCCATGCTCTGAGGAACCATCAGACAACGATCGACTCTTTATCCTGAAAGAACTTCAAAATAAGTAGCTTGGTACAATTAAATATTGAATTTTAACACTACAACTTTTATATTATATTATTTGTATTATCAGTTAAATAAACCCCATCTAAAAATAAATTAAATACAATATAGCAATTTTAATATAAAATATATAATAAAAGTAGAAAACTGCAATGATGCCAAAATCAAGCACTGACTGTATTGAAGCACCCCTTTTCTGGTGGGGGCCCTTAGTACCTTCCTGAGTTAAGCCCTAATCCAGCCAACCCTTAGGATGATGCAACAGTACTCCGAGACTCACCTTTGCCTAGCAAGAGTCGGGACCAGAATCAGGCTTTCTCTATAAGGTAAGGGGAAACTTGGGGCATCAAAAATCAACCCAAAGCCTAGAAACCCCTCACCAGAGAGCATAAGCACAAGAAAACAACGACCTAAAATTATTAGGTACCTGAAGGTAATGTGACACAGGTCACTGCCACAGAGTAAACGCCTTAACCCTTAAACAGCGGCTATAGCAAAATGATCATTCCTGCCTATGCGCACAAAAAAAAAAAATTCTAGAATTATTAATTTGTATGCAAAATGTAAGGAAAACATGAAAATAAGTGAATATTTTTCATTTTACTGGGTGGAGGCACTCTGAAAGTTTGTGCAGTAGCTGTGGTCTGGCATCTGTCAACACACGATGCCAAACTTTGCAGACACCGAGGTATGCGAGACACGACACCAGCAACCCCCCCCCCCCCAAAAAAAAATAAATACCAGGCCAAAGGGGTAACCATGAAATAAGGGGAAGACAGAAACACCAGCACTCAATCGAGAGACCGAGATGGAGCAGGAGGAGGATGAACCAGCTGGAAGTTAAAGAAGGCCTGAAATAACTTGTGAAATGGGGACGAGGAAGTATCTTCACTGAACACTAGGAGCAACCTTGTCTCTTCTGAGGCAGAGTGATAAGAGGTGACAGTACAGTATTAGGCTCAAGATGCCAAGCCACAAACCTTCAATACAAAAATGACAACCACCAGAACAGACACTGAAGACAATGAAGAAAGAGAAAGAGGGGAAAGAAGTGCCAAGAACTTCATACAGTCACGTGATACAAGATATAGTGGGACACCCAACAATTCAGCCACCTATGCACCATACAAATGGTGGTAAACCCGTGTCAGTAACTCTAAGATGCATAGATGCATTAGCAATACATAACAAAACAATGTCTCAAAGTCTGTTGGATAAGAAAGTGAATATATATATAAAAGAACGAATATCCTATCAAAAAGTTTCACAATCTCTCAACAAAATAAAAACTTACCGCCGGTGAGTTGAAGAGTCTGAACCATCAGACCCATGTGACTTGTTATCTGACAAACAGAATGGACGAAATCTTTGTTCTTTCCTCTGCAGCTCTTCTGCTTTTAATTCCTCTTTTACTCTGAATAAAAAAATATATAAAATGTTTTCTGATGCCTGCTGTACTCTAATTTCATTATTTCAACACCAGTGCTAGTTTAGTAGCTAATTCTTACCCAATTTAACATAATATAGACTAACAATATGTTGATTTAGCCATGTGAAGGAAACAAAATTAGACCACTATAAGGAATGTGGTTACTGGTAGATCTTTACAATTAGAAAATGGAGAATGACTGGCAGGTACAAACAAAAATAACAACAGTAAAGGTCTTATTAATGTAACTTATGCAAATGTGGAAAAAGATTTAAATTCTAAAATCACACATTTTGTACTATTTTATGTTAGTAAATTGAAGCATGTTAATAAAAATAACGAAGCTCAGACGTACAGAAGAGACATGAGAGTGAATGCAACGGGTGTGACGCCATTATGACAGAATATGGAGAAACATGAGGTGATGATTTCTTAGTGTGGCTGTATTAGATGATCTGATAATAAAGGATGTAGAAAAAAAAGTAAAAAAGTTAAAATAAAGTACAGTGAAAGAAGCCAGCATCATGGGAGAGTAAGTTAGAGGAGCGCATGATACAACAGATCAAAAGTAAATAAAAAGGAAGCATGTTTAATATGTGAAGACTGAAAGCTATAATACTGTTAGCAAATATTCAAAGAGAGTTGTTACTCTCGATTATAAGATTAAAAGAACAATTACTCGAACTCGATTACAACAAGATTAAAAGAAAAAAAATGACCAAACCACATATCAGAAGACGGAGAAATGACAACGTTTCGGTCCATCCTGGACCATTATCAAGTCGTTTGTGTGATAATGGTCCAGGACGGACCGAAACATTGTCCTTTCTGGTTGGTCAACAAAATCTTCAGCCATGTTATTGTGACTTATCATCTGCCAGATAAAATATATATACAGTACAGTACATATACTGTATTTTAAATAGTTTATTCACTTTCAACACCTCTACTAAACAAGGCATAATATTATACACTCTTACCTAGCAATTTCCTCTTGCATGACAGCCCGATGCTGTTCTTCTTCGATCTCTTGCTGCCTTTGCATCTCTCTCTTGGCTTCTTCACTTGCTTTCCTACGAGACTCCTGCTCAGCAACCATCTCATCATATATACAGTCATTATAAGGTCTTGCATGTTCACCAAGATAATTCTGTAAGAAATGCACACTGCAGTCATTTAATCAAAAAGAAAAAGAAAGAAAAAATCTCAATGTTTACAAGAACAAAGAAAAGACTGAGCATGTAAAATGAACTTATACATGTGATAAGAATATTATGACTTTTTTTGGAATACTTTGTCACCAAAAAAGTTTTGCTCTGGTCAGGATACAAGAATGAACGAACTCCCAAAAGTGACAATAGGTAAATTACAGATACCCTGCACATTTCTCAAGAGTTGCTGACAACGGGTTAATAAAAATCCTTCTTTCCCAACATCAAATTAAGAACTTTATGGTTCAAGCATTAAAAACTTTAACTAGCAGTATGAAATCCATTTTACACATAAGAAGCATCTAAGTTCTGTACTGTAAACCAATCAAGTATATTTCACAAGTGCAGACCATAGACTGATCCGTAATGTGTACACAAAATAAGAGATCTACAAACAGTAACTTCATGCTTTTGTTCCCAGGTCAGCCATAAAAGTTTTCCTCAATCATATGTAGAGTATTTAAATCTTATGTGCTTAACATTTACACTGCTTCAATCAATATCTACAATTTCCTTCTGTGCTCAAACAGCCACATTCAATTGATCCTTATGAGCTTTCAATATTTTGTTTTTCTCATGTACACATGGATGTAGGAATTTTAATAGAGCTAAGCAGTTTAAAGGTTCAAGTCCTTTACTTATGGCTTTATGTTGGCATTGATAATGCTACATGACACTTTTCTATGACAGAATGAGAAATAAGGAAAAAAAATGTCTGCCATGAAAGGGTGTATGGCATGCAAATTTGTACTCAAGACAGAGCAGGGTGTCTTACTGTTCTCTCCACCTCTAAAAAATACTTGTGTAGCCGACATATTGCAGTAACTGTTATGCTGGAGTGCAGTAGTACAAGTTTCTTAAGATGCCACTGAGAATGGAAGGTATTGTGAAGGGCAGAACACTATCTATAAAACATTTATCCTCTTCTCCAATGACATTTGTCCAACATTTCACCCCCCCAACCACTTGGGGTGGACGGTAGAGCGACAGTCTCGCTTCATGCAGGTCGGTGTTCAATCCCCGACCGTCCAAGTGGTTGGGCTCTATTCCTAACCCCCGTCCCATCTCAAATCCTTATCCTGATACCTTCCCAGTGCTATAGTCGTAATGGCTTCGCGCTTTCTCCTGATAGTTCCCTTTCCTTTTACATTATCATCATAATGTCATTTATCATTATTGTAAAGACATCAAAGTTAATAATTATGATCAGAACAATGATCATGAGGGGGACAATGAGACTGACAATGATGATAATGAAGTACAGGTACAATAAACTCAAACATGTAGCATATTTAACAAAAGCTTACTTGCGTATGCTGGCAAAGTTCTAACATAACTACTGTTCCTTTCTGTGCAAATTCAGAAGCTTTTGTCTCAAGCTGTTGGACCAGTTCATCCGCCTCTCTATCTGAAAGGCCATTATATGATTCCACTACAACAATAGGCGGTCTGCAACATTAGAAAAGCAATTGATTAGGCAATAGGTCTGACACTTTATAAATTATCTGAAGATAAACTTTGATGACTAGGAATAAGCAAATGAAAAGTTGCACTTTATAAAATAAAAAAGTCAATTTTCACTGTAAGAATGGCAGCCTTTATAATGTCTTAGGAGAAAATAAGAGTGCAAAGAATCAGCTGGAGTCTTGCTGGCTTGTATGTCATAAATGTAAGCTTATTGACGCAGGAGCTTTTCCTAGAGTATACAGTTTATCTAGTCATGATGTACTGTCCAGGAAAGAAACACGAGTCTGTAATATTGTACATTAATAACAGGGTGCACAATCTATATACCCGGTATACATAAGGGTTTATAATATCAAGATTTATTGAAAACTGTTAATAGAGTACAAGATGTTTACAGTGAAAGCCAATATTTGAGTACTGTATTTAATGACAGGAACTAAAGCGAGGAGATAGAGGTGGCAATGAAGAATAACTGTGTGAAAGAACAGTAGAGAAAGTACATCTGAATGGAATCACTGACGAGCAACACCCAACCTTTAATGCTCTCATCATGCTCTCTTAGGAGCAACATAATGACTGCAGTATAAGTTATGTAAGAAAAAAAGTGAAAGAAGGATAAGGGAGATTGAAAAGTAAATTATAAAATTAAAGAGACAAAGCAAACAGTATAGGACATAATATTATATAGTGTCAACAAATGTTACAAAAAAAAAAAAAAAGAAAGTGTGAATTATAAGTCACACATTACTATTAAAAACATTTACTCATTTAATTTTGCTGGTGAACTTCAATTTCGGCAAACAGACGAGTAAAAAAGCTTCAATTAGTAACAGGAGAAAAAGCAGGTCAAGATGGTATATTTAGGCAAGTTTGTTTTAAGAGCTCCTGTTTTATGGTCATTACCTCAAGAGAAAATACTCCAAAAATAAAATTTATTTGTATACAGTAAATGGAAATTATTTTGCACAACCTAATAGCATATTTTGCCAATTCCAAGTTTTATGCTTTGTCCGCATTCAAAAAATCATTCAGGGACATTATCTTTGGTTTGTTAACTATCATAGTGACAGCACGTGGAAGTGATACGAGGACAAGGATCCGGGATAGAATGGAGGGAAGGAATGGTGACCAAAAACGGGGATAGTCAGGGATCATTTGCCGACCTGCAAGAAGCCAAAACATGAAGTCCAAATGAATGGGTGTGTTATCAAGATAGTATACATATTTTTCAATATAATTATCCTAATTTTGCTTTCTTGTTATTACATTATACTGCTCTAAAATATGATGAAGTAACAAGTCTTGTTTGCACACATTATGTACACTACATAATATGTTACTGATGCTGAAAATGAGTTTAATAAAAGCTTAAAACTCACTCATGTGGGTATTTCTCCGATGTTTTTATTCTCAAGACAACTTTGATGTGCGAGTGCAGCGTGCCACCCTGGGACCGATTAGGGCCAAGTGTAATTTTTACCTCAGGTGGTCGAGATACTTTCCATGGATCTTCTTGTCTCAAGTCAAAAAATTCTTCATTGTATGCACTCTGGAATATAAAATATTTCTGATCTATTTATCTATAGATAAATAGAGTATTTACCTGCATTCTTACATATACATACTGAAAACAATGTCAAACATGTGCAATCTTTCCACAACATTACATATTATGATAAATTACTGTATAGCACATCTCTTAGTAGCTATAGGCCTAGACATTTTTCTCTATTTTACCAGTATAATACTGTACAAATATAAATAAATGTTGCCAAAAGTAAAGCAATAGTAGTGGTGCAGAGAAAAAGAAACTGTGTGAAATTATTAATTCATTACAGTGAATGGAGAACTACTAGAACCAGTTAATTAGCTTAAATGCTTAGGATGTAAGATTAATACAGAGCAATTTCCACCTATGAAGTTTAGAGAAGAGCGAGTCAGCAAAGGAGAGGAATTGGAGCAAAGAAAGCTCTGTTTAGACATACTGTCCAGCAGACTCTTGCTAGTCACGATGTCTACAAATATTTGGCAGATGCGAATGATAAAGCTGCAAATACTAAGAGCTTATTGGAAAAAGGGTGAGTAAGCAAGATACTGGTCTTGATGCATTTGCTTTAAAGTCAGCAGTAATATTCTTTGTGATCCTTTGGAACTGAGTTTGATCAGAGAAAATGAGGTCCATTTTCTCAACAGGTTCTTCCTTTTTGAGGACGTCATATTGGTGACCAATCTCCACTTCTGACAACCATTTTTTCTGTCACCACAAAGACTCTCATATATACATACATACATATATAGAGCTGCCACTTTGAGTTCAAGATTCAGCACAATGCTTCTGTAGTTGTGTCAAGTCTTTCCTTTCATCTATTTGAAGCTTATTACTAAATACTCCTGCCACTTGCCAGCAACAAATACAGTACACATAATGGTAGTACAGTACACATAATGGTAGCATAGAACACTTGGTAGGTGCAATGATACAAGAATATAGTAAGCATAAGACCAACTTGCAAATGAATGTGGCAGATCTGCAGACATCTGATAATCCACACTCAAATTGGCCTAATTACATAACAAAATTCCCATGATATTCCAAAATGGGATAAAAAAAAAAAAAACTAATGTAATTAATTCCAAAACAGCATTTCCCAATGCCATGCAAGACATTGGCAACCCATATAGCAAGAAAACAAATACGGTAACAAATTTTTGTTACCATATTTCTTAGGCATCAGAATTGCATCCGAGTAAAAGAACATTAGCGAATGCTTACCTTCATGATAGCCACTTCTCCTTCCACAACTTCAAGAAGCGAGTCTTCCATTTTGGCGACTGACAGCTACCGAGATATTCTTTCTAAACTAGCTCCATATATTGCTAATGACAGTACTCTCCATTGAATGACTTCTGCTCTCATTTTGTGCACCAATCTTCTCTCTCTTGTTCTCTATGTATCATGGATGCTGCACCCTACATTCAAAGGATTTATTTACTGAAAACAAAGAAAGCTAAAATTATTATCTGTACTGTACTAATTTTTAGATCAGTTAGGCGCTTGGGCCAAAATTATTAAAACAAATATTCAATATTCAAAAATACAATTTAATTAGAATACAGTACATTTAAGCTTCCTATGAATATTGTATGCTCTTAATTTGTACAATTGTCACTTAATATATTTTGAAATGCTTCATGTAAAAAAGTTTTGTAAAAGACGTGAGTTAGCATAATGATCATTATTAGTAATTACTCAAGTGTAGTTACGGGATGAGAGCTACACTCGTGGTGTCCCATCTTCCCAGCAATCTTTGTCATATAATGCTTTGAAACTACTGAGAGCTTTGGCCTCCACCACCTTTTTACTTAACTTGTTCCAATCATCTACCTCTAACAGTGGTATGTTTGTGTGTTTAAGTTTGACCTGTGTTTACCATTGTTCTCTGAGTGAACACCAATCTAAGTTAGGAGGAGGAACCTGTTGTACACCTGTTTAATTGGCTAGATTTGAACAAACTTGATCCAATCCAACATTTGCATATTAATGGAACACTACATTCAATGGGACCATTAACTGAAGGCTACAAAGAAATATCTTCGTTCTGCCCGAAACGCTGCGCGTACTAGTGGCTTTACAAGACTGTAATTACTATACTGTACTATGTATCATCACAATCCCAATGTACCTTCTTGTATATATATAAATAAATAAATAAATAAATCTATTCTCTAGAACACACTTATATAGCACAAGGAGACCCTCATGTCCATAATAATTTTATTTCAAATACTCTAGTCTAATAAAGTGACCTCTCAAAATTTAAAGTACTATATTTTTCATTTGAATTTCAGTTCGTATGTATACATAATCCATACTACTAGAACGGAAGAAAAAGTAAGTACTGTAATGTAAAAGACTTAGGAGTAATTATTAAAGAATACAACGAAGTTGCTGTCACAACTGCAAGAATTTAAATGTCTGACAACGGGGCATTATATTAAAAACCACCGACAGTAATATCAATCCATAATAATATCAATGGGAGCCGGTCGGCCGAGAGGACAGCACGCTGGACTTGTGATCCTGTGGTCCTGGGTTCGATCCCAGGTGCCGGCGAGAAACAATGGGCAGAGTTTCTTTCACCCTATGCCCCTGTTACCTAGCAGTAAAATAGGTACCTGGGTGTTAGTCAGCTGTCACGGGCTTCTTCCTGGGGGTGGAGGCCTAGTCGAGGACCAGGCCGCGGGGACACTAAAAAGCCCCGAAATCATCTCAAGATAACCTCAAGATAACCACACTAGACATTAGGTGACAACTCCTATTAAATGTTTCAGGTCATGTGAAACATTGCCAACTCGATACATCCTGCCTAACATATCCTGACCTTTGTTACGTATCCTATCTTAACACAGACCAATATGAAAAATGTAGAAAATTGACTTTAGGAGAGAGTTGCAAGGCCCCCATACCTTCAAAAACATTACCTGTATAAGCTAATACAAATACCTATATAAGCTAATACAAATACCTATATAAGCTAATACAAACAGTAATATAAACAATATTTTAATTACTACTTAAACATTTTGTTTAATTGGACAAAATCTGACTAGTTGCCTTAGAAATGAACTTTGAGAAGGAAAAAATAAAAGTTAGGCGAGTCCTAAAATTTCTCTTAACAGTCATCAATAACATCAGACATCGCCACCATACTTATCATACACGACCCAATCAACCTGATGCCTGACTTGATAAGTTGCAACCGTCACAAAACTTGATCATGCCCAGTATACCACAAGTAGACCAATACTGTACCAGCGGTAGACTACCCTCGCCTCCTCTCCTGAGGTAAACACTGACTCTTCTCCTCACTTGTTTACACAGTGAAGTGCCTCATCATTTATGTCTCAATGAATTGAATCCAACTTAAGACAAAAATATAATAAAAAACAAAAAATTATTTTATATTTCGTATCCGTGTCTCAACAAAAATATAAATCAATTCAATAAAAGTACGTTTTAAATGCATCGCCTAGCAGACTTTTTTATTTTTATTTTAACAAGCTTTAATGTCCAACTAAACTTAGATAGATTGGTTTGGTTGCCATAATATCAGTGACAAGGAAGCCTGTTTGACTTAGTAAGTTCCCCCATTGGCCTTCCCTAGGGGATCTTAATGACCTTCCCCGTGACGCAATCCACATGCCAAGACTGATAAACCTTCGTCACTATATGATGGAGTGCGAAAAGATACGTGAATTCAGAGACGATTCTTTACCAAATGTTCCAGAGATGTGTAAATATTTAATTCAAAATGATCTGTTACCAGAAATTTTAGCCGAATGTCCCAGTTTGCTAACTGTTTGCTAAATAAGGTATCAGTGTTGCTCTCTGGAGCTCGCCTGAGCGCCCGCCGGTCTGACGTAGGGGGGGGGACATATCTGTTTCAGTAATTGGCATATTTTCGGTATAAAAAGTCGCAATTTCAAACTGCAAATATGTGCAGAGAGTCAGAATTTGGCTCCAAAACATGTCTCAGGAGTAGGATTTGGGATATTTTGAAAACTGCAGGGGGGTTTGGGCAAAATGTGACCCATCGCCGTTTTCAGTAATTGGCATATTTTCGGTATAAAAAGTCGTAATTTCAAACTGCAAATATGTGCAGAGAGCTAGAATTTGGCTCCAAAATATGGCTCAGGAGTCGGATTTGGGATATTTGAGATATCTAAGTACCATAAGGTCTCCGTGCCGTCCTCTGTGTTCCACAATGTCAAATTACTGACCATTCCCAGGATGCACGAACTGTATAATAAATCGATTGCTTTGGTAATGAATTTTTTCACATATATTACCCAGTACCCATCGGCTGTTTGAGGGTGGGGTGCAGAGTACATGTGGTGGTAGTATTCAACCCAATACTCATCCTTTGGGTGTAATGGTTCATTTTCCCATCCCGTGGGGGTTGGTTGGGGTGGGGGGGTGAGGACCAAATAACCAACCTGTTAAGGGTATTGATTCCCATACCGTGTAGTACAGTCGGATTCGTTCTCGACACACAATCGAGAATTCTAGGTTCGAATCCCGCTTCTGTTCACCTAGCAGTACACTCGGGTACTCAGGAGTTACTGTAGTCAGCTAGTTATGGTGTTGCATCCTTGGAGGGGGAGGGGCGGGAGAAAAAGCCTTGGTATAAGTCTACCGTGTATGAATATACTCTGGCTTCCTGTCCTCCGACACAATGAAATAAAATTATTATTTTACCATTGTGGTTAAATTATACCTATCACGGGAGACATCTCCCGTCACGCAGGGTGCAGTCGCACCTCCACAGATCTCCAGTATCAGCTCTTGATACTGGTAATGGCTCAAAAGGGCCACCACTTACAGGCTATTCATGCCCGTGCCACTTTTTGGGTGGCTTAATCTTCATCAATCAATCAATCAATCAATCAATCTGAGGAGGATGGAGGGAAGAATAGGGGAATTGAATGCTTACGATGCTTTATACCTTCTCAAACGGTGCCTGGATTTGCCCAGACTTACCTATTTCCTAAGGTGTGCTTCCTCCTTCGACAGCCCAAAATTAACAGAATCTGACTTCTAAAATTTATAATCATTAAAGTGTTAAACCTCTCCCTGCAAGATGACCAATGGCACCAAGCAAGGCTTCCAGTTAGACTTGGGGGTATAGGTATTCGCAAGACAACACAGTATTACCGGCATTTTTATCCTCGACCGGTGCTACAGGTGAATTAGTGAATAAAATACTACCAGAATACCTAAGACTCCACTGGGAGTCATGATCCCAAAAAATTTGTGAACGGAGCCGGTCAGTGGGACATTCTTGCCAGCTTTCACCCTCGACCAACTTTTCCAAACGACAGCAAACAGGCCAAATGGGATAGCCCCATAGTGGAGAACATTGCCACAGCAATGCTGCAGGCAGCTTCTGGGAAAGACAGAGCGTGTCCTCTAGCTGTGCAAGCTCCCCATGCAGGGGAATTCCTGTCTGCTGTCCCTAATTCTGCCTTGGGCACCTGCCTGGACCATCAGACACCCTAAGTATTGGTGTTGCATTGTGTCTTGCCGCCCCTATCTCCACCGAATACCAGTGTATCTGCAGCTATGCGTTGGCAGACCAATACGGCAGCCATGGTCTTATCTGTCGTAAGTCACAGGGAAAGATTGCCAGACATGAAGCAGTCAATAACATCAAGAGAAGCTTGGCTACAGCTGGGTGTCCAGCACAAAGAGAACCTCAGTTGTGCAGACCTGACGACAGCCACAAATGCTCAGATGGAGTCACCGTGCAGCCATGTAGGGAAGGTAAACAGGTCGTATGGGACTATACGTGTGCGTCTACTTTGGCTGATACCTATCTACCTTACAGCACAGCTGAGGGAGGCAGGGCAGCCACCTTCAGGGAGACCCAGAAAACCAACAAGTACAGGGACCAAGAACGTTGTTACAGGTTCATGTCGATAGGCTCTGAGACTCTGGGCGCCTGGGGTAAATGTACACTCAAGTTCCTAAAGGAGGTGGGCGAGGACTTCATTGGGAAAACTAAAGACACAAGAGCAGCCAGTTTCCTGTTCCTGCGCTTCAGTGTCGCAGTGCAAAGGGAAATGCATGCTGTATCTTGGGCATGCACCCAACCTCTGAAGAGCTGGACGAGGTCTTCGAACACTGATTGTTATATGTGTGTGTGTGTGTGTGTGTTCTCTGTAAACTGTAGCAATGCAATGCAATAAAATAAAACAAAATAAATTAAAAGGAATAGGGGTGGGAGAAGAAAATATTAAAGTGTTCAGTGAGAACCCACAAGGTCTTCTCTGAATACTCTATTTTCTTTTTTGAGGCTTTTTTGAGGTGCCTACAAGTGCACCAGTGGTGGTACCCTTAGTATGTTCTATTGTATATATTATAATTTGGTGCTAATTGAAATATATACAGATAATATTTCATAAAATATTTGATATAATTTACAGGTGACCGCGAGGGACAGTTGGGAAGCAAGACGCACGCACATCCTGGAAGTCACGACATTCAACAAGGATATGCACGACCGTATCAATAAGATGTAGCTGATCTGTGATATTCGAATAGGATGGAAAATGGTACATTAAATCTCACCAGAAGTGGGAATGGAAAATTACAATAATCATTAAATTTGAGCAGACTATTCTGCTGTCCACAGCGATGGGACGGGTACTATGGGATGTACTATGTTATGTGAGGTAGGGTTGGTGCCTGGTGATAGCTACTAACTGTAAATCTACCACAGGGAAACTGTGAACATTAGCATCATAGGAACTATGAGGGTTATGTGGCATAAGTAACATGGTATCCCGAGGACAGGGATACCATGATTCCTCAAGTCTAACTGGTTTCCTGTCCCAGACAATGGTATTCCATAACAATCAGCTTTCCATTGCAAATTCCACAAATAATGCTTGGTTTTCCTTCATGGGAGTTACCCTATTGCTGTACCGTGTACATCTTTTACTCCACTAAATAATCAGACAAAATCAGAGATAATTTATGACCAGGAAACCATGCATATTTATGTAATTATTTTATTTACAAAATATTTACAGCTTTGGACAAGTTTGCATACAAATCAAATTAAGATTAGCTACTAAAGCTTGTATAAAATGTTAAACAAATCTCTGGGAAGCTTCACCAAACCAAGGCAAAAATATGGTAATGGCTTTTTAAAACAGCAAGCACAGCATTGAGGAAGTTTCGTTTACCAGCACTGTTTTTCTTGCAAGCCTGATATGATTGCTTGGCATGAGAAGTGTTTTTCAAATGAAAATTATTTCGAGCCAAAACATATAGGAATAACTTGGAAAACAGTGATGTAAAATGTTTGCAAAGAAAATTATTGATCAGTTGTGTCAGATTAAGCAGGGTGAAAACTGCACATTCAAATGAGTAACAAACAGTAAAAAAAAAAAAAAAAGAAAAGCTACATTACACAGTGTTGAGTGTAATGAAATGCCATTTTCTGGGTGAGACCTAGATGCTCCCTGGAGTTATACAGGCTGATATAAATGTATTAGACCCTGGCATCAGTCAAAGCGAATGGAGTTCTTAAGCCTACCAGGGACCATGAGCCAGACCCTGGCCCCCTCAGAGAGGCACGAGGAACAATGACCTATAGAAACCCCCATGTGGTTGGAAGCATTCTATGTCTGCCATTAACCGGGTCAGGCACCCAGAAAGATAGGCGCCCCAAAACAAACCCTATCTGGTTAAAAAATTGCTACTGAAAGCCGAACTGTTGGACAGAACTTCCTAATCTAAAAACGAGCATGACGTCACAACCTTCACTGCGCCGCTGTCTGCACAGCTACCCCCTCCCCGGAAGGGAAAGCCCCAGACCCCTGGCGCTGGCTATCTACCCCTAGTTCTGAGGCTGGATATCAAAACTGCAAAACCACTGATCGAACCCCCGTGGTGCAGGTAAGGAACCACGGGGAAACAGTCCAACTGGAGCCGGATCGTCAATCCGTAAGCGACCCGAATCCTCTGGAGCGACATCCACACAGTCGCGAACTCCAACACCGTGCTGTGGGCCCGACGGGAGCACGGACCCTGGCCAGCTTGGTGAGCACTGGTCACAAAGCCCTTGCCAAGAGACGAAGCGTCTGTGAACACATCGAGTGAGGGGCTCGGGTAGGCGCCAAGGCACTGAACCCTGAAAAACCCGAAGAGGAAGCCGGCAACGCAAAGCTCCCAGGCCGAACCCAGCGGTCGTGAAGAGAGGTGGAAGGAACGTCCCTGAAGGAACTAAAGCAGCTGATGAAGCCATACCCG